CCCAAGTCGTGTCTATTTTAATAAAGAGATCACAAAATTCAGCTGTCCACCACTAATAGCAATTTAACAGTCTACGAATTGATGAATATCCATTAATAAATATAATGAAATAAAAACGTCTTCCCGCCGCCACGATTAAAGTAAAAATTGAAAAGAAAATAGAACAAAAATCACCAGTATTTCTGGGGGAAAAAGAGTTGAATTGTTTCCCATATTCAAAACAAAATATCTTACAGTACATTGTAAAAATTATATTTCAATCTTGATTCATAAGATTTTAATCTCAGTTGTATATGGAGTCAATGAGGATGGCTATAAAGTGCTTGTTTCAACAAACCATCCCACATAAAAACAAGAAATAAGAAGAGGAGCAATGGTTGTTGGACTATGCTTCACTCACTAGAAAGTGAAGAGAGACATGTCTATCAGCATCACACTGCAGTCACATTTGCCCTCAACTGATGCTTTACTTAATCCTAAACTGGGGCCGGGGTGGAATCCGCCCCCCCCCCTCACTTTTTGCTGGTCTCGACTCGAGACCAGCCAAAATATCGAGACCAAAGGGGACCGAGACCGAAACCAAGACCGAGACCACAGCTCCCGAGACCGAGACCGAGACCGAGACCAGCAAAAAGTGGTCTCGAGACCGAGACCGAGACCGAGACCGAGACCGGTCTCAAGACCTACAACACTGGTGCACTTCGAAATAAATTTTCTCTGGTAGTTTGTAGCTGGTACGTTCAGCCAAGATTTATGTGAAAATTTCACGTAATTTGTATACCAAGCTATGTCTATTTCAATTAAAAATTACTAAACTCGGCTGTCCACCACTGATCATTTACCGTGCCTACGAACTGATGAATACCCATCGGGTACAATGAAACATGGACGTTTTCCAAACTCAATTAATGAACGAGAAATTGCAAAGGAAATCATACAAAAATCGCCATCAATGTTTCAGAAAAAAATAAGTTTGTTCCTCATATTCAAAACACAAAATCTGACAGTAAAAATAATGTTTCAGTCTTGATTTCAATTATCAAAATCTAATTTGTATTTAAATGCTTTTTGTAATCTGTAATTCTCACTCAGTTCAATAGCTTCCAATGGCATTAAAAAAGCTATAAAACTGGGTTCTTTCAGTAAAACATGCATAACTTCTGATGGCATGGATCAATTTCAGGAATTCTTTTGTTCATATGAGTTGACGGACATCTTTTAAAAAGGAATGTACAACATTTGCTTTTGTTGCAATTTTCAGAAATACAAGGATTTAGAAATAAAATAAATGTTATAGCAAGTACTGTTAAACTGACTTGTTTTACGTTTTGGGCTTGTAGATGCTGGAGAAACCAAGAAAACCAATCATTTTCTTGTAGTCTGGTTCCCTGACCCGGTGACCCCACCTAAGATGAAACGGAGCAATTTGTAGATTTTGGAAAATTGCAAGGTCAGAGAATTAGTCTGGCAGGCTTGTACCTCTTCACAGGTGTGTAATCAATGAAAAATTAGGAGCAGTTTTGAAAATAAGCCAGTTTTCTCCAACGCTGGTCGACCGACCAGCGTTGGGAAAATACCATTTTTCTTGCAAATGTCAGCACACCAGGAGCCACAATTTTACAGGATACTTTAGACTGTCATTCCCGAACAATCCAGTAAGGTATATCGTGATAATTTGGTCATTTCGTTTTTTGATGTTTGCACATGTTGTATTTTCCCTTTAATGACATACTTCATTGGTGTATCAAAGTTGATTGTTTTGGGAAACAAGACAATTGTAATCCGCGTCACTGTCTTTTTGACTCGCCCTGTACACTGACGATATGGTGACACATGTTGAATGGAAACGCTATTCGCAGTATAACCTAATGACTTCTCGTTAATCAGCCAGATGCACCGGAAACCCTGTGCAATTAAAAAGATGGGGGGCAGCACTGTTCTCACTAAAACGCCAGCATAAATATTACATGACAGCGTATAATTTACCACTCGGGACAGAAATTAAAAGAATCATAAATTGTCCATTCAGTCATTTTGCAAGCCTCAATTAACTACTCATTTGAGCGTAAAACTGCGACCGATACGGAAGCTCGTGTATTTGTTAATCAACCGTGAGCAGACCAACTGAACCAGTGAAGATAGAGTTGTTTGAACCAGAGATATGAACTGCAATATTACATTGTGAAACGATTCTTTCTGTTAGTACGCCATTGAAGAGAAGTTGAATTTGGTGGACGGACCTCAATAAATATCTTGACATCCGGAGACAAACAAAACTGATCTTTTGTGCTGGGAATATGAGGCTGAATTTTGAGGTTAAGGATTTTTTCCCCCTTTTTTTATGTACGTCTTTTGTAATCTTTGTTGAGTCAGTCTTCACAAAATACCGCTTTTTTCCTCCGGACACTTGGCCTCCGTAAAATTCAAAAATTTTGCACGCTAACGTACAATATTATGGTGTTTTTTAGGCCGATATATGCGTGAAATAAAAAAATAAAATCAGTTTATAATAATCAGTTAATAAAGAAAATAGTAAATGAAGTCTGCAGCTCTGTAATTTCTGGTTCAATAATTTTATGACTGCAAGCTTGAACATGGAAACGAACACTCTGGCAAATATGAACGACAAAAAAACCCCAAAGGGTTAGAAATATTGGCGTGTATGGGCGTTATACCATGCATGTAGCAATACTGTGGGGTAAAGCATTCCAACGTCATCAATAATTTAATGAGGGATAACTGCTCCGGCGTTAAATATTATTTCATGTTAATTTCAATTTCAAAGCTGCAATTACGCTGCGCATCAGCAACAACAGAAACGATTGTGTCCAAGGACAATATGGCTATGCCTAGGAGGCATTTTTCAACCACAATTTATAACCGTTCCAGACATGTCCTCGAACACAATACAGGTAGTCCCTAGTGTATTTTCCCCTTTGTTAATGAGACAGAGAGCAGAAAACCCTCCCCACTTAAGTTTTTGAATGATTCCTTAATTTTGCATTTAACTGCGATTTCCCACGGTTGGCTGGTTACCGCCTCTCAATAAGTATCGATAATGTGCGGACTGCATGGGAACCATTCTGCTCTCAAGGCAGATGCGTTAATGCCAAAAAAAACCCCCCAAAAAACCGACCATTATTTTAAAGGGCTGCAGACGCACAAAACGGAAACAAAAATTGCTGGAATAAAACATACTAGTTGAAGATATATAAAGGGCGAAATATTTTTTTAAAGAGTGCGGGAACGCATCTTCAAGAGTTATTTGAATAAGAAAATGGGAATTGTTCGAGAACAATGCCACGTTCCTTTTCCTCATTGTTTCTGGGAATTTTAAACGACGTTGTTATTGTGTTTGAGAGTTTTTAATTATGTGTAGATTAACCAGTTGAGAGTAAGAATGACTTCACTTTAGTTAGAAATATATTTCGTCATTCAGGCACAGGGATATCATTTCATAATTTACGTTAAGTAATAATGCCTGTTATATTTTAGTTCACTCCGAAAATCTGCAGGAAACAGTCGCTGTTAATTCAGGGTCATCATTAAAAAAATCTCGTTGTTTTGAAGCTATATGCACTCATACACACTCATCATGAGCCTGAGATTATTAATTATCTATGGCATGACTAAATCAATATTTTATATTAACGAGAAAATACCGGCAAGGCTGTCAATACTTTTACTGTCGATTTTTTTAAATTTAATACGAGATAATGGCCAACGGCTTATTGCGTTAACTATCTAATTCAGCTTCATCTTTCGCCGTAGGCAAACAAATATCCTTTAGGCTCGATTTGGTTTCATCATTCCACTTACGCGAGATACGGTCATGCAATCCTAGACTTCATCTTGCCAAGTATTATGTTATGCTCCATATTATTTTCGAAGTGTATTCTCATGTCCTTCTTGATTGGGATGTTGCAGGCTTTGCTTTAGCCACGCCCCTTCTACTCAAGCATTATGCATTTTGTTCTTTGTTTATTCCGCACTCAAAAAAATCTCGAAGAGCACATTCAACTGGAATTAATAGGCCTACATACATGGGAGAGTTGATAGCTTTTAATTGGTCGTGCTATAAAAGCAGGCTTTAAAAACAAGTGAATATTAAATGGCTACTGATCCAGCATCATGTAAGCCAGCGAATGGACAAATATTAAAGGTTTCTTCTAGTTGGGTGGGAAGAAGGGGGTATCGTGCACCCTCGGAAATCAACTTCTAATTAACGTCTTTAGATCAGAAAAAGAACAGGTTAACAAGTGTTCGTAATAATGATGGTTCGGTATAGCGATTTTGAACCGCTCGTAACCTCTTTTGATCAATAGTGAACTGGCATTTCTCACATTCTCACGATTCCGCGGCCGCACGAGGAGTCGTCCGGAAACTTAAGCAATGGGTGGTTTTCCCTTGTATTCCTTGGGGAAATAATAGCCATCGATCGCTCTTCAACATTCAAACACGATGTATCTATAGGTCGTTTGACGTTCGGGAATTAAAAGTGACCCAATAGTGTTTAATACATGTACAACCGGTAGATTGTTTTGTTAATCCGTTGACTTTTTTCAACAACAATCTTCGGTATACGTTTTGTACATTAAAACCGGGAGCCAAGGATGATGTTCGGTTAAGCCGAATGTTCGGTATAGCAGTGTTCGGTATAGCGGCGTTCCACTGTAATGCCAATTATTTGCCAACGTCTGAAAGGTGATTGAAACATTTGCTTAATGTGATTTTTTTCCCCTTTTGAAGCAACAACAATTCTCAAATTTCTTTAAAATGTGTACAATAACAACTTACTTCTAAATTTTTCAGTCAGTGTACTACAATTATACTTGAAGAAGAAGAAAAAATCAGAAAACGTACACTGCAAAAACCGCAGTGTTAATTTAACACCATTCGGTATCTATATAGGACAACACCAGTACAATTTAATACCAGATGGCCCTATATAGATACCAACAGTGTGAATTTAACACTACAGTTTTTGCAGTGTATGCAAAATGATCGGGGTCCTATACGTGGAGTCTGCTGCTAACGCATGTAAAAACAGTGTCATGCCCGCGGGAATATTTCTTAAACCAACTTCAGAGATTGTTTCTTCCGAATGATATATCAGGCGGAATAAATTTCACCGGGTATTTAGTGCCAGTGCGCCCCCCCCCCCGCAAGTAAAGTAAACATTTTTTTTTGCATCATGTGTACATTAGTCGTCTGAAGATACTATGTTTTTAGATAAGATGAGATTTTACACCAATTTTAATTGAGATAAGGACATGTTGTCTGTGATTGATGTAAGTATTATGTATTTATATTTACATGACTTGTAATTTACTAAGTGTCTTTAATGAGCTGTCCAACCATAATGTAATTGCCTTTTTAAGGATAAATAAAGTATTTTGAATTGAATTGAATTGAAGGGTTTTCGGTAAAAAAAATCAGTAGGCATGTTTTTGGGTAATTGTAAATATTCCTACGTTCCTTTAATTCAGGCGATTCACAATGTAGTGTGCCACCAAGAGTTTGCCACGGAGAGTCCATCTTTTCAAGTTTACGGTCGACAAAGCATGGAATGAATATCAGGAGACAACTTGAGATATTGTTTTTATAGATTTAAAGGGAAATACAACATTTGTAAACATCAAAAAATTAAACTACCAAATCATTTTAAAATACCTTGCTGGACACTAACAAGTGAATGACAGTGTAAAGCATCCTGTAAAATAATGGCACCTGGTATACTGTCATTTTCAAGAAAAGTGGTATTTTTGTATCAATTTCTAACCCTGGTCGGCCGACCAGCGTTGGAAAAAACTGTTTTTTTTCCTCAAATACTGGCCCCAATTGACCATCGCACTTCGATTACACACCTATGAACGGGTACAAGCCAGCTAGACTGGTTCCCTGACCTTACAATGCCCCAATGTATGTAAACTGCTCTGTTTCTTCTTATATGGAGTCAGGGAACCAGACTACAGGACAATGATTGTTTTTCTTGGTTTTTATAGCATTTTCGAACCCAAAACCTCAAAAAAGTCAGTGTAACTATATTTGCTATATATTTTCAACCCCCCAATTCCATCCATTTCTGAAAATTACAGCAAAAGCAAATGATGTATATTCCCTTTAATTGGGGCATAGCAGCCGCAGCGTTCTGCTGCATTAAAAAAAAAAAAAGAAAGGGCAAATTAACAGATACTCGAATCATTCACTTACGAATCAACTTCTGACCGGTGTAGCGTGAATATCCGACTCCATGAAATGTGGACTCATAGGTAGTATTGCGCATGCATAAGTACGAAAATATGCTATTTTTAGGATCACATACGGGAGAGTGACCTGTCACGTGTGAGGGATTAACCAATAATAGGGAAAAGGGGTCCAATTTTCAAAGGAGTCGGATATTCATATGACACCGGAAAAAACCGAACAATTTCGAATGACGAGTCCAGCGCGAGTTTTTTTTTTCCACACCACACTCTCGCTAGCATATATAGAATTATGCTGGAGGGCACTATATAATTATGCAATAATATCATATTTAAAACTACTACATCGATCTAGTGACTGCCATAGTGTCATTGATACTACATTGGATTACAAATCCGATGGAGCGAGTTCGGTTCCCATTGGATGCTTTTTTTTTTTCATTTCTTCTTCTTTACTTCTTTTTTTCTCTTAAAAAGGTTTGTTAGTCATTTGGAACACTTTTTTTTACCAATATGTGGTTTGGAGGATATTTTTTTCAAGGCAAAAATAAAGTCCGAGAACCTGACTCGCAACTCAACGTTCTTCGAAATACGCCCATATGCATGTGTACAGAAAAAAGGTGTACGGAAAAAAATATCGCGTCCCGCGCTGTGAAATTGTTGACCATCTCCCACAATGCATTGGGAAAAATGAACTCTCCGTGGCCAACTCTTGGTGGTGCACTGCATTGTGAATCGCCCGAATTGATGTCATACTAAAAAGGTGTTGATTATTGTTTCTCTCCAGACTGCGACAGAGTCGATTTGAAAGCCTGGTGCCTGAACGACACGCTCCTTGCAAACTGCACAAGTGACTGTGCGCACAACGTGTCATTGACGTGTTACACTGACAACACAGTGAATATCCCATTGACGTGTTACCCTGACACAGTGAATAGCTCAGTGAATGCCCCCCTCAATAGGATTGAGGAATACAGGGCGTTCGATGCCGAGAACGCTAGCCTTGTGTGTAATGCCACTTCATCAGACGATGGCGTCTTATCTGCCAATATTTCACTCTCAGGTACACACGTCAAAACTTGATTAGCTCTTCTTTCTAAAATCATAAATAAGGTAGGCCTACTGGGAAACATTTGGTGGTGGAAAAAGTGTATTAGCCTTCACTCTTGCCACACACCCTGATATTTCTTTGTGGTATTTTTTTGCGTGTGGATTTGCTGACCAGTATTTGCAGCTAAAGCGCAAGTTTGGGTGAGGAGCATTAATCAACCAGTGGTTGATTTGTGACGTGACTTACGCCTGCGCACTAATAGCAACGCGCGATCGCCTCTATAGTCAAACGGTGGTCAAAAGTCCTGGCTCCCCGATGCTGAACGAGGCGCACAGCGGCGATGCGACCACGCCCCATTCGAGCGAGTTTAGTTGAACTGTGGTAAACTATAGCTCGCCCCCAAACTTGTTCTTAGCAGCTTCTTGAAAATGGCCCCCTACCGTTGATTAAAAACCTATAAGTACCAGCCGCTTCTGAAAAAGGAGAAGTCAACTCCGTTTGCCCAGTTCAAAAAATGGATGTAAAATTTTGAAGAATGTAAACGCTACATGACCAACTTTAGACCTTTCTGCTTCGTTTCCTTCTTGCGTACTTTTGAGTGCATCTTAATTAAAGAATAATTAACATGTATTTAAAGAAAAAAGACTCGAAGGAACTGAAATTAATCTCGCTTTTCAGGCGTTTGTGATGAGTGGACGGGGGAATCGGGGAAGCAGCACCCAGGACATCAACGATCGTCAGAACAGCACGGATCAGCATGGTACTCCGTAGACATCCCATCGCGTCCTGATTCCGAACGTGAGTGGGTTTTGTTTGATGTACATTGCATGTGAGCCTTTGCGCTGGTCCCAGAGGGCCAGCCTAGTGTCTTTGTACCTATGTCACTGACTGACTGACTGACTGACAGACTGCCTCCCCGTTAAAGACAGCCTTGTGATTGTGAGGCAACCGGGCAGTGCTATTGTATGATATAACTCCGAAAGGGGCTAAATCCGGCCCGTCGTGCCAACTTAATACAATTTTGCGCGTTCCGGTACCAGCGTGTATCATACTACGTTTGTCTTGTTTTAATGTCAGGTAGGCCATGACAGAGCTGTTGCGAGAAGTTTGTATTTCTCATTATTCAAGACAATGAGCATCGCTTCTGAACCTTTTAGTCGTTTCACACTTGCGTTCAAGAGTCGCGTCGGAACCATTGTTTTGTGAAGAAAAGTACCTGAAAGGTTCGTCATAACAGGAGCAATGACGCTCTTGAGGTTGTCAGACAGAACGTGTCTAGTCCGGGGTAAATTACATCATAAATGTCCACCTGTTTGGAACCAGGATTAAATGTTCCTTCAGGCTTTGATACATCCAACCTTAATTGGACGTTTAAGTTAGCATACTTTCATAGTTTTGCCTTATTTCTTGCAATAGTCACTACCAATCTGAGAGTATCTGCGAGAGGTTCGGTGGTTCCAACATTGAAGGAACTCCCCGATGGTTTCAGGATAAAAGGGTTTGGCAGCGACATACTTGAGGTGGAGGTTCGCGACGAAGCGGGAATTCTCGTGACTGACTTCTCAGACAATCCGGTCTTGCTCAATTTCACAATTGACTCGGTAAGTTCAAACCAGAAAGACCCTTTGTTTTGGAGCAAGATTGTGTTTACATTCTAAAAACTGTGTTTAGCAATTAAACACAATTTTGCTATCACTTTGTAAACATGTTTAGGAGCTAAACATTATGTGTTCAATTCCTAAACATTAATGTTCAATTGCTAAACACTGTCCATCCTTACTCTAAACATGTTTAGTATTTAAACATGTTTACAAACTGATAGCAAGAAAGTGTTTAGAAAAGTGTTTAATTGCTAAACACATTTTTTGCAGTGTAGAAAAGGGTTTAATTGCTAAACACAGGATTGTTTTTGCAGTGTACATCAGATGCATGAAAAGACGTCGATTAACCAATCTGAATCAATTAAACATAATTTGAGTGCTCTTGGACCATCTTTGCTCTCCAATCTTTAGGCCTACCTTTACACAACCGTTAGTAACAATAAATCGTACAAATGCCTGTGCATATCAGCATTCTTATTTTACACTACGATAAGAAGTTAATCGCATCAGCATGGGCGTCGCGAGGGGGGCAAAGGGGGCACTTGCCCCCCCCCCCCCCTCGGAAAAGCAAAAAAAAAAAAGAGAAAAAAAGAAAAGAAAAAGAGGCGCGAAGTCATAGTGGTGTTTATTTAATGGGTGGGGGGGGGGGGGCAAAATGTCCTTGCCCCCCTCTAAAACTGATGTTTTTTTCGAGAATGTGTTTGAGAAATACAGGCATGTTTCGGCAAAATATGTTTTGCCCCCCTCTAGAAAAAAATCCTGGCGACGCCCATGCGCATCAGGGCCCAACGTGGCTCTGCTTACCACTATTCCCAGCTCACGTTCACCATTTCGTGCTATAAACCGTACCGCGCTAGCAGAAAATTATGTGCTAACCCTATCAGCACATAGGCCTTAGTCATGGGACGTACATGTACGTACGCGCAGAAGATACAATTCCTCGCTAACCCGTGAAATACGCTTACTGTAAACACGGAATTGTCTGCCACAGTAAAGAGGGTTTTCGCTAACGGTAAGCAGAACCATGAAATTGGGCCCAGATGCGGTCAGTGAAAAGCAAACATTTCACAACAACGTCCGGTTAAAATGCATTTTTTTTAATGAACATGTTAATTGTCGCGAGTTTGTTTTATAACAGTGTGTGGCCAAAACATGCTTCAAGTTGTTACTACATAATAATGCGGTACTAGCATATTGGCGGCTATTTCGAAAAAAATAATTAAAATTGATAACAGCCCCCCCCCCCCCGAAAAGCAAAAAAAAAAGAAAGAAAAAAAAAGAGAAAAAAAGAGAGGCGCGAAGTCACAGTGGTGTAAATTTAATGAGTTGGGGGGGGGGGACAAATGTCCCTGCCCCCCTCAGAAACTGTCCCTGCTCCCTCTAAAACTGAGAATTCGAGAACATGTTGAGAAATACAGGATTTTTTTGGGAAAAATATGTTTTTTTTTCCCCTCTAGAAAAAATCCTGGCGACGCCCATGACCACCGCTCACACTGCAAAGCTATCATGCATTTACCAACTCTAGATGACTGTATACCTTGCCTTAAATCGCTATGAGCGTTGCTCCTTTTGATCACTTGATGTCCGGTGGCCCAATTGTTGGCCCAAAGCTGATTATTCGACTCAAATGGCTTAGGCCTAGTTGTGAAACTTAAGTAGTTCGCGTTTTTTTTTAAATTCCTTTGTATTGTATCGTTACAATCCTCTGCTTGTAGTTAGTGAGTTCTAGTATGATGTTTTTTTCTGTCTGTCTCAGTATGATCCTGAAGAAGTAAAGCCGGTGTGTTGCTTCGAGCAGGAATCCAAGTGAGTAACGACTGAATGCTTGAAAAAACTCATGGAAATCCAAACTGCTTCATTGTTATTATTCAACCAGCCCTACTTCAGCTACATACGCATTCAAACATGATACATTAACTAGAGTTTCGCGTTTGTTGAGTTACAAACGCAGAGTGGTCGGGCGGACAGCCTTCTCATTATACACTGCCCAGTTAAGTTAGGAATATATGTAGAAACAAGGATCACGAAATTAAATCCCTTCAAGTATGATCAATGTTTCAAAAAGATATCTTTAACGGTGTGATAAACTTCAGTAAACATTCTATGTGCACAAAAAGTTATTTCTGGTTTGATGACGTCATCAGTCAAAAATGGTTAGTGAATACTGATGAAGTTCGGAGAGGATAATTTGTCATTTTAAAATTAAATAACGTATGAAAATATGGGAAATATAATTGTTTGTATTAATATCACCTAACTTCCGGTTTGACGACGTATTTATAACACCTAACTTCCAGTTTGATGACGTCACAGCATTAGAGATCCAAAGGTGAACATTGTAATGGATATCATTATTTGGACTTCGAAGATATGACAGGGATCAAATGATAGAATTAAATTAAAACTTTGATCTTTTTCGAATTCTCCTTAAAGTAACTTCCGGTCTGATGACGTCATGAATTTGAAACCTTGCCAAGTTATCTGTGGTTAATCAGAGAATATCAAGGGGCCATTTGGTAAAATTTGGACGGATGGTTTTACAACTACAGAAGGGAAACTATATTTCATGTGCCGATAGGGGGCGCCCTTTCGGATGATGACGTCATCACACTGTTTTTTGCGTCTTGCATTCCTCACTTAACACTTTCATAATATATATGTCTGTAGTGAAATGCTTCCGCTTTTGAGTTATATTCAGTTTTTATTGCACTTCCGGTAACACCGGAAGTAAAGGTCAAGCGGTTTTGCGTCCGGGAACACGAAATGTTTCTCACGGCATAGTCTACAACCTCACGAAAAAAACGAACACGATACTCTATTTAGTTCAAAAGATATAACGCAAACTATTTTGTCAAAGTTTGCCCTTAAATCGCTTGTAATTTGATACCTGATGACGTCATGATGACGTAACAAAATGTACAACATCTTCGTAACATGGTACAAGTTCACACAAGGTTTTGTGATCATACCGTGAACCGTTCGGAAGAAATGCTACTTTGTTTTGATATCAGGCTAACGTCTTCATTTGGAATTCACCTAACTTTGACCTTCCGTTAGACCCGGAAGTAAAGGTCAAGCGAGTTCACGTACACTACAAAAACTGTTAAACGATTAATGGTCTATCTGATAACAGAATACAATCATCATTGATTGTTTAGTTCAAGAGTTATAGGTGAAAGTAACTGGTCACTTTTTCAGATAAAATCACTTGTAATTTGACACCCGATGACGTAATCATGACGTCAGAGCAATATGCACCACTTCGGATGAGGTCCGATATATATTGAAAGTTACAAGTTCATACCATATACCGTTTAAGAGAAAACCCGCGGAGAAGTATTGTCCGGAAAAAAAAAGAAAGAAAGAAAGAAAGAAAGAAAGATTAATCGTAACAGATCCAAAGAGTGGTCGGGTTGTGCCCGACCACTCAATTAATATATACAACAAAGCAAGTAAGAGACGCTTTGCTTCGGAATCTGTCATCTAAACCTTGAACTTCAAACCAAAACGTTTGTGCATTTTTGGTCTCATATTAATATTATAAATAATTAATAATCACAATGTTTGTACTTTGCTCATATAAGTATATACATCGGTGTAGATCAACATTGACTATACGTGGCTCGAATATCAGTGGCAGTTCGGGGGGGGGGGGGCTTGAGCCCCCCCCCCCCCAAATGTTGTCTAGCGCCCCCCCCCCAAAAAAAATCCATTAAAAAAACAAAAAGGCACTCGCAAAATGTAACAATGTGACTTACATGTGAACGGTCTCCCCCTAAATAAATAGTCGTGAGAAGGGTGCATTTGTACACTTTTCGTTAATATAGTGTGCCTGATTGTGTAGGATTTTATCAGCGCTCCCCATTGAAAATATGGCACGAGTCCCCCCCCCCCCCCCCCCCCTATTGATTTTCGGAGGCCTAAGTGTCCGGAGAAAAAAACGGTCTTCATTTCAGCACGCCTCCCTGAAAAAAATCTGGATCCACCCTGCTATCCCCCCCCCCCCAAAAAAAGAAAATATTGGCTCTAGAACAGCGCCTGGCTGATCTATACTTTTTTCATCTGTATAGTTATTGGTCAACTCAAGGCTGCAGAATAAGCAGCCAGAAAGCCAACTCTGTACAATGCAGCTGCAACCATCTGACGAGTTTTGCCATACTGATGCAAACCACTGAGGTACGTCATCATGTCTAAATATAAAGCTGACTTGTAATCAGTGTTGTAGGTCTCGAGACCGGTCTCGGTCTCGGTCTCGAAACCACTTTTTGCCGGTCTCGGTCTCGGTCTCGGTCTCGGTCTCGGGAGCTGTGGTCTCGGTCTTGGTCTCGGTCTCGGTCCCTTTGGTCTCGATATTTTGGCTGGTCTCGAGTCGAGACCAGCCAAAAAGTGAGGGGGGCCGATTCCGCCCCGGCCCCAGTTTAGGATTAAGTAAAGCATCAGTTGAGGGCAAATGTGACTGCAGTGTGATGCTGATAGACATGTCTCTCTTCACTTTCTAGTGAGTGAGGCATAGTCCAACAACCATTGCTCCTCTTCTTATTTCTTGTTTTTATTGTGGATGGTTTGTTGAAACAAACACTTTATAGCCATCCTCATTGATTCCAAATACAACTGAGATTAAAATCCTATGAATCAAGATTGAAACATTATTTTGTTTTGAATATGGGAAACAATTCAACTCTTTTTCCCCAGAAATACTGGTGATTTTTTTTCTATTTTTCTTTTCAATTTTTACTTTATTCGTGGAGGCGGGAAAACGTTTTTTTTTCATGATATTTATTAATGGATATTCATCAATTCGTAGACTGTTAAATTGCTATTAGTGGTGGACAGCTGAATTTTGTGATCTCTTTATTAAAATAGACACGACTTGGGAATAGAGAATGCAAATTACGTGAAATTTTCAGAGTTACTACTCAATAACATGTTCTTTATCCCAATTATATATTTTTTTTACAAAATGGAGGGTGCCATTTCTTTTGTTTTATCATACTGTCACTTTTTGACTTGCCATGTATTCATATTTTCATCTGTGATAAACACAAATTGAGCTACTGCCATAGTCACACAAAAATAGAGTCTAATTGCCTGCCTTGTCTCCTTTCTAAATGTCAATTGCGTTTGCATGAGTCGAGAAGACTTTTGTTCCATTAATCGCTAAATGCTGTTTACGGCCATCACAATAAACGATTGAAATATTGGCAATATGTTGTACTTGTAATTACTAAAATATTCAATTAAATCACCCGGCAAAGTAGCCGATGCGGGCGATACGCTGGTACAAAACGCAAATAGGCGTGCGCACGCAGCCATGAATCCTAAAAGTGCATCTCGCCCATCACATTCAGTTTGTGACAGCGCCCTTCTATTGTGTCGGCCTCATTCTCTAATAGACTAATGACGATGATGACGGCGGGCAGATTAACAGAAGATAGATCAGGCATATGGGTCATTCCATGTCAGACCAACGCACTTTTTTACCTCATGTCTTCCGATTTTGATAAAAATTGCTGTGCTTGTAGGTCCTAATGAGCAATGAATACACACCAATTTTTAGCCCGATCCGACCTACCATGTGGTCAGGGCAGAAGCCACAAAAAATTGGCATTTTTAGAGTAAAATACCACCCTTTTGGTATAAATATGTCAAAACTATGGCAATTTTCATCGAATATATGTGAATTTGTTATTAAAATAATGAGGATTGCATGCTCAAAGCACTTCTTTTGTCAAAATTAAATTTTGTGAAAAGTAGGTCACATGACCTTTAATATGCTATCGTGACCTTTGACCCAATTTTTGTAATAATGTATCATTCCAAAAATCAACGAAATAAAAATAACTTGCTAGAGCATGTCTTCCTCTATCAGAATCTACTAAAAATCAGTTGGGGTCTTCCAAATTTACAACTTTATGACTATTTTTGTACAGTTGGTAGGTTACAAATGAGTCAATTTATAGACTTTACATAAGAAATTCACCAACACAACTTACTATTCTGTTTCTAAAGTTACTAAAATATATCTTGGTTTGTGAATTTCTCATTCTGAGGGCTGATGAGGTCTAACCAGACTCTTAGTGTAAATTATCAGCAGTGGCGCACCCAGGATTTGGCTTTTGGTGGGGGGGGGGGGGCGGGGGGTCATAAATCGTTTTTTGTTCAAATTTCTGTAAAAGTTTGGACCAACAAAAACTAGAATAAAATCAAACAAACAAATTGACAATGTTGGGGGTGGGTTCAAGGCCCCCCCCCCTCCTGGGTGCCACTGATAATTAGTTATCCCACGAGCGCGCTTGGAATATGAAATAATGCAATGCTGCTGTGACCCATATGCCACTCGATGCACTACATAATTCCGTGTTCCACGAGCGCAAGTGGGATTTATAACCAATTTATCTTCAAGCAAACTTGATATCAAATGCGTACACGCAGTGAAGATGTACGTGCATACATGTAGTGTTCTGGTCCGTTCTGCAGGAAATAACACAACATATGTACACGTACATTTTTAATATCTGGGGTGCAATATAGCTGTGCAATATTATATAAAATCACACAGTTGTTGCTATAGATGGACTAATCAGGGTCTAGGATTCAAGTTTGCTTGAAGATAATACTTAATATTACAATCAAAGTTACCTTTACTCATTCATCACTGTGCTTCTTGAACTTTAATGACTCTCACAGACTTGGCATTTTGTTCCTTTGAGGTGAATTTCACCTGGACGTGAGTCCGCTGTACTGGGTGAAGGCCTGGTTACTGTTAGTGGTTAGCACACTCCGAGTCCAGATATTCTGATTAGACAGTTTCTTTGGAATCAGAAGGTGGAATTTTGTTTTCCTGGCTTTGTACTTTATACATAAAAATCTAGATTAATTTTAGTAACTTTAGAAACAGAATAGTAAGTTGTGTTGGTGAATTTCTTATGTAAAGTCTATAAATTGACTCATTTGTAACCTACTAACTGTACAAAAGTAGTCATAAAGTTGTAAATTTTGAAGACCCCAACTGATTTTTAGTAGATTCTGATAGAGGAAGACATGCTCTAGCAAGTTATTTTTATTTCGTTGATTTTCGGAATGATACATTATTACAAAAATTGGGTCAGAGGTCACGATAGCATATTAAAGGTCATGTGACCTACTTTTCACAAAATTTAATTTTGACAAAAGAAGTGCTTTGAGCATGCAATCCTCATTATTTTAATAACAAATTCACATATATTCGATGAAAATTGCCATAGTTTTGACATATTTATACCAAAAGGGTGGTATTTTACTCTAAAAATGCCAATTTCTTGTGGCTTCTGCCCTGACCACATGGTAGGTCGGATCGGGCTAAAAATTGGTGTGTATTCACTGCTCATTAGGACCTACAAGCACAGCAATTTTTATTAAAATCGGAAGACATGAGGTAAAAAAGTGCGTTGGTCTGACATGGAATGACCCATATATGGTTCATCAATCTTCTATAGAATAAGTAACGTTATTGACGTTAAACATAAATAAAGTGGCATTACATTTCAGCCTAAGCCAGGCCTCTCTGGCTACCACCTCTCAATTTTTGGGTCTACATGTACAAGTCTATATTCCATGACTGAAATTTTAAAAAATAAATCAATATTTTCTTGCTCCAATTTTTTTTGGAATCAGGTTTACAAGGAGGTCCAATGTAAAATTAAAGCTGCTTTTAAATATCCGTTAATAGTCATTGCTGAAACCAAGGGGTGGCTGTGGAGTTTAAGTCCTGTAACAGTTTAGTTTAGTTCCTATAACAGATGAAACATCCACCTTTAACTTTTTACTTTTGTAAAGTTTCAACATTGCAAAAAACTAGTACAAATTGTCGTACTCCTTAGTTAGAGTTTCTTCATCAGATTGACACTTTATAGTAGTTAAACAATATTATATATAAAAAAAATATGTTTTTAAAAAAGTGGCAACATATGGAGTTCATCAAATTAGGTTTTCCCCTTCTTTAAATTAGGTTGTTTCCATTTTTTAAAAATTGATTGTGACAATAACAAATTCTGTTGCCATGTTGTAATTTATGGTATGAAGCAAACATGAAGAGCACTCGAATGACACAATTAAGCAGGTACAAGTGATTCCTGCTTTCAATCACTTCCTTCACATCCCCATCAACATCATTCATCTCAAGGACAGACTGTTTAGCTGTAATTAGTGTCTTGTTGTTTATTAAGATTATTGTTATTTATTATCCGCGGTCTCGGTCTCAGTCTTGGTCTCGGACCATTTCGGTCTCGGTCTCGGTCCGCCTTGAAGGGGCTGGTCTCGGTCTCGGTCTCGGTCTCGCAACTTCAGGGTGCAGACCAGTAAATCGGTCCGAAATTGCCTGCGCCGGCCAAATCACGATTTGCATGCCCTCAAAATCTTCGGTATTGGAGCATGCTGTGGGCCATGAACTTGAGGGATTGTAAAAAATATGGGTGGAAGCCGTGCACAGGACTGGGAGCTTGCAGTTCTGTGTAATTTTGATGTAATTTGGACCCTAAAAGCGCTCTATTTTGCAATGGAGTGTAGGCATCGTTTTTCAAAATGGCGATGGGCTTCAGGACTATTTTCAGGGGTGATCATCTTCAGATGGAAATTTCTCCTAAAAGTCATAGTTGACCCCCCCAAAAATTGCAAAGAAAATGAAAGATGATGAAATAAGCTTTAATTTGATGTGTGTCTCGAACACCTTGGAGAGTTGTGAGTATTTTTCCCGAATTTTTGAAGTGGGAGCATTTACCATTGGGGTCTATGGAAGTTTATTTACTGGTCTGCTACCTTCAGGTCTCGGTCTTGGTCTTGGTCTCGGTCTCGGTCTATCCGGTCTCGACTACAACACTGCTTGTAATCAATAAAGCAGACTTGTAATCAATACAGTAGACTTGGAAGTAACCTGGCATGTTTTGAGCGAATGGTGGCGCTGTATAGCTCAATTTCGGGAGTTGCAATGACCTAATAGTCGCAATTATTGACGCCAAGTTTACATGTTTCCATAGTCGATATTAAGCTCTTAAACTCTTTACTATCTACATTAAGTAAAGTTGCTGAATTGCTTTAATTGAACATTGATATTGGAGTCAGAATAATTGCGCCTTTAGCGCCACCACTCCCCAAAAGTACGTTGGGTCATCGTAATAAGTCGTCACAAGTTCATCACATGTCATCGAGTCTCAAGTCAAGCCACAAGTTATTCAAATGAAATTTTAACAGAGACATTCACCGATCATTGTTCATCCTCTGTTAAACTTGTGACCTGAGTCGTGACCACTAATGACTCTGTGACCAACGTGAGTGACTCTGATTCTCTGTTTGTAATAGCATTTGGACGCTTGATGGCAGTCTTTTTCGGTGACCATTGACTTTTCCAAAGCTTCCTCATTGGTTCAGCTTCAGGAGGTTTAGGCCAAACAGTATAGTGCTCCAGCCAGATATGGGATCTTGTCTTGCTTCAGGAAACATCAATTTCTACAAAACTTCAAAAACCATCAAATTCTACTAATCGAGGCCTAAGAGTCCGATGTTTTATTGGTTATATTTAATGATAACCGAGACTTGTTTAAATTCATTTTGTATGTGTTACACACTAAACAGGTGCAGCTGAGTGAGGCAGATGCCCGGATGTTGGACATATTGACCAAGATCGGGCTAAGTCTGTCCATCACTTGCCTCGTTCTGACATTGTTGGTGTACGCCCTCTGTCGGTGAGTCACTGCCAAACAGACTAATACAAGTCGGCGGGATAATGTATTTTACCTACATATAGATGGCCTAGACGGCAGATACAATAATATAATAAGATGTAGTACAAAAACACCTTGAGACTTCTAGAGTTGACGGATAAGAACCTATTCAAGGCAGTAACAACAACTAAAAAAACCCTGAAAGCTGAAAGACTGTGTATGCGATTTTAGGGCCTCATTAAAATACTGACTCTATTAAGCATTTTTAAATACCTAAGACAGTTTACCCATTCCTATTGGGTAATTATCAGCACCCAGACTCCAACCTGTCTTAAACTTTGTGTTTAAAACCGGCCAAGCATACATTAATTTTATTCCCTCATTCACGTGTATGTTGTCCTTTGACAGATTGAAAAGCCTTCGGATTGTGATACATGCCAACCTCGCCTTCGCACTGTTGCTTGCACACACCGTGTTCTTGTTCATCAATACACCCAACCAAGTGCGTATTTGCCTGCAATCGGGGACCCCTATTGTCCCTCTTTTGTTTGCACTTTAACGTTTTAGGAAAGCCTCCCATATGTTTTGTTCACGATCGCCAAACTGGGGACCTTCGGGAATTGGGGACCCTTTTGTCCTCTATTGTTCAACGTCCCCTATTGAATGCAGAAACAAACTCGTCACTGACAATTTTTTCACTATGGTGGCAGCAGACAAATACTCTTTAAACTTTGGAATACCTGTGCATCGGAAGTTGTATTTTTTTCAACATCGCTCTTGCCTTTCAGCTTGATGCTCATCAAAGAGCGTCGATGAGGAGCAAAAAGAGCAAAACCTGAACTTGAGAACAGTCCTAATAAGTTAAACAAGCGGGAAATGTTTACCCTACCATCTGTTGTTCAGTTTTGATTTTGAATGCTTTAATGTTCAGCCCAAATTGTCTTTGGAAAAGTCTCTGAATAAAAAAAAATAAAAAAATAAAAAATGCATTTTTTTGGCCGCTGACCAAAACAACACCGCGTGATTTTTCGCATGGGACGGCGGCCCGTGCTTGTACGCACAATTTCCAATCAACGTTACTGTCCGTTGCACGGTGAAATCATTTGTGCCGGCGTGGATGGTACCACGAAGCACACAGTTAGTTCTTGGCACTGGTGCGGAAAGGAGCCCGGCGTCGCATTTTTGGGAGTCGCATTTGTATGCTCTGCATCTGGCAGGGATCATTTTGATAGATTTCATGCAAGACTTTCATGCAAGACGGCCGGAGCTTATTGTACACTCGCACTTGTCTGTGTTCAATTTTTACTTGCAGTAGAGAAACTGGGAACATTGCTGGGGAAAAAATCATAGAAAATTGCTGGCAAGTTTTATCACTAGCATAATGAGGAATAACCCCCACCTCAGACTTTTCACTTTGTGTACATCATGTTAAAGCACAAATCATTGGCTTTCCAATGATACCAAATTTATTTCTGTAGCTTAATTTGTTCCAAAGATATGACGCCGGAACTATAGCAGTGTCCTGCCAAGTTTCGCTAACCTCATTTTGAGAAAAACGGCTTTGAAAAAAAGACACGCATTGCGCAGCCAACGGCAGTGACAAATGTTCTTTCCGTTTGTCACAATAAAACCACCCTTCTCTTGTATCTGTGACTATTTAATAGGTAGTGTGAATAATTCTTTTTTTTGTAACCCTTGTACAACTATGCATGAGTGGATCAGAGTCCAAACCTAGCCAGCCGTGGTTGACTGATCAAGGTAACAATAAGAACACATTCCACACACAATACCTCTAGGAGCATCTTCCATGTACCCACACGCACACAATACACATCCCTGGTATCTCCACTCTGGTAAGGTAGATATTTTGCATATTCATGAGCTTTGGTTTAAATAAGAATGGGAATGAAGTTAAGTTTGAATGAGTGTGAGGAAATGAGATGGTAATTAGTGGAAGGTTGCTGGAATGTGAAGGGAAAGTGAGGGAGTTGTCTCCATGATTCTGAGCTGTGTACATGTACATGTATTTGCGCCATCACTCTGCTCTGCTGCAGCGATTTTTGATACTTTAGGGTAATTCAGGCCCTAAGATCTTTTTTCCAAGCAATCTGGCTTGTGACAATCGCAGTGCAGCCAACATTGAAGATTTCAGAGTGCTTTTCAAGCAAATTTGTGCTTGAATGTGTTTTTAACTTTGGCGTGAGGGAGACAAGTCAGCAACATCGACCAGCAACCGTAAGTTGAAGATTTAATTGTTTTCATGATTAATTAAAAGAAAAGAAAATATTGTTTTCCCTTCATTATATTTATTGTTGTGAGATTCACCAGGATTAAGGATTGAATCTAGAATTTTGAATTGTTTGAGATAAAGTTGATTGGCTATATATTATGAGGATTGTTGCATACCTGACGTATATATCAGAAGTTGATTTAATTGTGTTAATTTAAGAATGAGAAAAGTCTAAGTGACATGAGATCGAAGTAAAGAGTAGTATTCATTTTTAGGATTAGCTTTGAAGAACATTTGATTGGTGATTCGGCCTGTATTTTGTATAGTGACTCAAAATTATTGTGAGAGTTTATTAAAATTATAAATTTACAGACGGCCTAATCTGATCCTATAACTGACGAGGCTAGACGCACGAAGGCGACGCCACAGGCACTGAAGTCAAGCCAGAGGGCTGAAGGCAGCTTACAGCAGCAGCATTTCCAGTGTTTTTAACCGTGGAGTGGGTGGCGAGAACTACCAGGAAGAAGTCAGTTGTTTTTATGCCTGCATTTATGTAATTGTTTTGGATAGTATTGTAATAGTGTATTTTGAATTTGCAGTAACATTGTCATCAAAAGTAGGATAAACTATTCAATTTAAATTTGTGACTTCGTTCACACAGACCCTGCGGGGAGTGGAGTTACAGAGAACCTAATAATTTGGTAGTATTTGCGGAGAGAAGTTTGAAATTTGATTCCACTTATACAGTGAAGATTAAGGAGTTTTGTTTTCATATATTTTGGAGAAGTTTAAATTAATAGTGTGCAGAAGGTTGGGAATCTTGGGTGGATTCAACCGTTCGTAATAGTGTAATATTTTTTGTGTTGGATATTTGACCAGTGTGATTAATCCCGTATTCATTCGTACTTTGGATGTGATAGTCCAACACAGCTGTGATATTTTCTGTTTATATATTTGATTTCAATTTACAAGTGGTGCATTTGAGAGTAATTAACTCAAGCTTGAGGTATTGTTGTAAGTAGGAGTGATTTTTAAATTAATAAATTAATTCGGAGAACAGAATGATTTGTGGACATTGTTTTATTTACCATTGTCTTTGAACATTTTAAGAGGAAGGTTAACTGGATCTGACACCGTTTTTCCACTTTTGTGGGAAGTTTTTTTCCCAACAAAAAAGCACAGTGTGAATCTTGGATACCTTGGCTACTCAAAAATACAAAACAATCAATATCGATTTTGACATTGTTTTTCTAGCGTTTCAGACTTCAGGCGTCGATTACTCAAAACAAGGTTTTGAGGGACATTCCTCATTTTGCCTCAGCAGGTCACAATTATGTGGATCTCTTACCTTTTGACTCAACCATGACCATGTTTGTATCCTCGATGCACTCATCAATTATCAGGCATACAATTATATGTCTGTTTTTTGGCACTCCGAAGTGATAAGTACAGATGAAGTCACATACTTTTATTTATTTACATTACTTACAACTTACAATATTTTTTTTTTGATCTATAGGCCGGCTGCGCAACAGTTGCCGTGTTCCTGCATTTCTTTCTGTTGGCAGCTTTTTCTTGGATGGCTCTAGAGGGCGTTTTCCTTCTAATAAAGTCCACCCCCACCTTTCAGTTGAGGATCCGCATGCCGGTATGGCTGGCCGTCGGTTGGGGTGAGAACACTGTCCTCTTTGCTAACTGGACTTGGCTGACAATGCCCATGCATTGAAGCAGCGATCGCCATTTTGGGTAACCCATGACGCACGCGCAGTGAAAGCGAGTTGTTTAACTGGTGCATGTACATGTAACGGGTAATGGATTTCGTCTGCGTTTTGAGACCAGTTGTTGAAAGATAACCCATTTTAATTCTTGGACTGGCCAACTTTAAAAGAACATTGTTTATAAGTGGCATTGTTGTTTTCAGTAAACAACGTTGTTTTTTTAAATCCTCAACTACGGAGCATTTTAGGACATTTTAGGCATCCAAGATGGCGGATCACTATGTTACTTCACGGCGCATTGGCCAATAAGCATACATATAGCAGACAACATGCATCATAATTATGAGCTCTTCATAGAGCGCCCTCAATGAGGACTCAGGCCGTTGTTTCTCTGTAATTATAATGAGTAGACATATGGGCTTTCATTTTCACCTAATTCAAACAATAAGACCTGCACTCAGTGCGTTTTTTTCTGTTCAAGGGCTCTATAAAAGTGTGGAGAACTTGGGGAAGATAATCAGGGACTGCAGACTCCAAACTGGTCGTAAACATAGTGTGTAATACCGGCCATGCACACATTTTGTTCACAAGTTATTATTTTCAAGAGAGACATTCTGCATCCGGGGTAACCTCTAATCTTCAAAATTTCATTCATGTGTTTGGAACCTATAGCAAGAGCTGTCCTGCAACTTTGGCTTTCCCGTATATAGTGTTTACTTAGGATTTTCCTCTCATCCACACAACTCAATAACAAAGGAAACCTTTGATAAGTCATTTGCTTCATTAAATGATAAATTAATTGGGAATAGGACTACAATGATCACAGGACAATAACAAAGATCACTTCATTCCGAAACAGGTTTGCCAGCTGTGGTTGTGCTGATATCTGTGGCGGCCCGGTTCAGTGGATATTTGAACAGTCAATAGTAAGACGACTTTCATCTGTTTAACGTTAGCAAATCTATTTAGGTGTCAATTTAGTCAGTAAGTCAATCAGTCAGTGAAAGGACAATACATAGCCAAAACAATGAAGGTCAAGCCGCCGGCTTAGCGTCCGGACCCCTCGCGCTACCCGCCTCCCTCGCGCTACCCGCCTATGGGCATTTTACAAGGGGTTGCCCTCTCTCTTGCTACAAGTTTTGGCAGAATGATTTCTAACCGTTACCACCCCGATAAACATTTATATTGGAATTTCATCTTGATATTCTTCAAGAAAAAATGATAGCAAAATCAGTCGGAGATAGGTTAGAACGATTTTCAATTAGGACCTTTCACATCCGGCATTTTCGTTCCTATGTCTCCTTTTTTGTCCATGTTTGTTTTCATATAGCGTAGCGTGAGAACGGGAATGCATAACGACGCGAGGATTTACGTACTTACAGCCGATGGGTTCTAGATGTAGTCGTACTAGCTTGCGTTATCCTTATCATTGGTCATTTTAGATTATTAACCCATAAATGCTAATGAATCATTAAAGCTTACTCAAAAAAGTGTAAACCCTTAAAGACATGTTGGTCTTCTATTTAACTTTTAGTTTCCAAAATAACGGCCAAAAATTATTTATAGTCATCTGTAAACGAGTACACCGATTTGCACTAGCCCGCATGTATTTTAGATTTTCGGAAGTGAGAGGTCAATTTTTGGCACGATATTTCTCTTTCACGTCAGGCGATTCATCAGTTTCCATAAATTGATGTGCTAGTAACAATTTTACAAAGGCATTTTTTTTGGGGGGGGGGGTGATTTTCGTAAGAAATCAATGTACCAAAAATAATTCAAATTCTAGAATTGTGCACGTGAGTTTTCCTATTCAAGGGATACGGAAGCGCGCCACCAGGGTTGAACTTTCAGGCTTTATAGTCTGGCTCATGTCCAGCATAATACAATCAATACTGTAATTACTTGGAAGCAAGATTGTCACCTTTTTACAGGATAAGAGTCATTCACAAGCCACCCATGCACAAAATTAAGGTTAAGTTTCGATTATTTTCCCAAATAAATTGATCAAATAATCGGAAAAAACCAAAAAAAAAATTGCTAGAATCAGCCCGAAATTACTAGAGAACTCCTTCCGTTTTCTCCCCATTACATATTTTCAACTCAAATACCCCAATGTTTTCCTTTTCATGTGTTTGTATTCCATGCAGCTGCTGGTTATCCTTCGAAAACGGGTTTGTCTGGTCGTTCATAACTCCAGTAATCATCATTATGATTGTAAGTTGGGATTTGACTACAACAAATATTAATATTGTAGATTTTGTGTGTCTTCAAATTCATTTTTCCCCCTGAAATTGTAAGAGCATCAAACGTGCCACTATACTCTTAAACAATATTGACGCTTGACCTAAGCATCGTCTTTGTAATTATTACTAGTTTGAAATTTCACAGCTGTTCTAACGTCTTGATCTCAAGCAAAAGGCACATCTACTTTGAAATTTCTTCGCACTTTGTTTAATACAATACAGGGTGGATAAAAAACCCCGAAACCGAGCTATTATTGCTAATTGGAACAGAAGTAGGGCACATGTGAATCAACGGGAGATATCCTCTGTTAGGGTTGAATTTCCTCTTTAAAATGACACCCTGATCATGTCATTACATTCACGGTTGACTGAGCAGTGACCAATTTTATGAAAGGGTCTATTTAGAGACTTGCGCCACTTTTCATGGTGAAATCTCTTTTTTCCCCCACCTGCCTTGATTGGCAACCATAGCCGTTCACTCTGTGACAATTTACACAACAAAAACCACAACTGAAATGTGGCGCAATTCTCTAAATAGACCCTTTCATAAAATTGGTCACTGCTCAGTCAACCGTGAATGTAATGACATGACCAGGGTGTAATTTTAAAGAGGAGATTCAACCCTAACAGAAGGTATCTCCCTTTGATTCACATGTGCCCTACCTATGTTCCAATTAGCAATAATATCTCGGTTTCGGTTTTTTTTATCCACCCTGTATATTCCTGTTTAAAAACATATTAACTTGTCGAATTATATCACATGGAGAGAAGTCAGAGACAGTGGAATTCATTTGTACACTTTGTCTTTTCTTTCAAGTTCAACGCGGTCATTTTGATTCGGCTGATCTTCATATTCATGTCGCTTCAAACCAATAAGAAGAAATCGGAAGCACAGAAAATGAAGTAAGAAAATCCCAAAGGGTTAGCTTGTTTTTTTTGTTTATTTGAAATTTGGCGTTTACGAAACTCCGGCTTCGTTCCGGATCGGTTTCAAATCTGACATTGAACCATTAGAAACTGTGAACCAAATGCAAATGTTTTAAACGTTGGTCTCACAACTATGGGCCTTATTCATCAGTTGGCCATTTTTGTTGAGTTCCCTGAACATAATCATTCATTCTTAACTGTTGAATGGGATGACGCCAGACTATTTTTGCAGGCATAATGCAGCCTTGTTTACTCTCATTTTTAAAATCTGGCTTTAAACATTAGATTTCAAAATTTTCGGGGGGGGGGGGGCCTTCAAACATAACGGTACCCCTTCGGAACCCCCCCCCCCAACCCCCCCCCCGTTTCTTGAATGCTAGATCCGCCCCTGTATATGGACAAATTATTGAGCGTTGAATCCGAAGAAAAGCTAGCAATAGTCTCGCTGTATAGCAAGAAGGCACTAATGTCTTATTTCTATTATGATATCCGATGAAATGTTAGCTGTTGACAAGCAGAAAAGTGGCGGATCCAGCTCAAGGATGGGGGATAGCAGGCACGTGCTGCTTTTATTGTGCATGATTTTCAAAAGGTGGTTTACACCAACATTCCTCGTAGGACCGCCCCTGCATGCAGAACATAATCGTCTTGCAAGGGGGGGGGGGGGCGCCTGATAGTCCAAAAGTCCATAGTCCGAAAAATCTTTAGTCCGAAGGTTCGATAGTCTGAATGTACAAAAATTCCATAAGAGGGGGTTCGTTAGTCCGAAAATAAAATAAGGTTCGTTAATCCGAACATTTGATTCATTAATCCGAAGGTTCAATAGTCCGAACGTTCATTAGTCCGAAGGTTCATTTTTCCGAAGGTTCGGTAGTCCGAATTTAGAATAAGGTTAATTAGTCCGAAGATTTAGTAGTCCGAAACGAAAATAAGGTTTAATAGTCCGAAGAATCCTTATTTCGAATTGACAACAAGGTTCGATAGTCCGAAAAGACTTTAAGGTCCGATAGTCCGAATCGACAATAAGGTCCGATAGTCCGAATCGGCAATAAGGTCCGATAGTCCGAATCAACAGTAAGGTCCGATAGTCCGAAGTGTCAGACTGACGAACCGTATTGCAAATTCGGACTATCGAACCTCATTGTCAATTCGGACTATCGAACCTTATTGTCGATTCGGACTATCGAATCGTATTGTCAATTCGGACTATCGAACCCTACCGTATATTCGGACTATCGAACCTTATCATCGATTCGGACTATCGAACCCTATCGTCTATTCGGACTATCGAACCTTCGGATTAATTAACCTTATTCCATTTTCGGACTATTGGGCCCTTCGGACTAATGGGCCCTTCGGACTATCGAACCTTCGGACTATTGAACCTTCGGACTAACAAACCGTCGGACTAATGACCCTTCGGACTAAAGAACCTTCGGACTATCGAACCTTCGCACTATCGGTCTGTAACCCTTGCAAGGTCTCCATTCATGATTGCAAGCACTACATTACTATCAACTAAAAAAAGACAAGATTCGAAACTACTTTGTATCTAGGCAGAGTTACCGGTATTCTCGTTCTTTCATATCATGGAAACTGAACACACGGAAGAGCTGATATTGGTGTTGCCACCTAGTACTTATTACTATTTTAATTGACCATTTTCTCCACCCCAGGGCGGGTCTTCGGCTCGTCTTGATCTTAGCGCCTTTGCTTGGTCTGCCATGGATCATCGGCTTGCTGTATTCGAACCAACACACGACTTTCTTTGCATACGTTTTCGTCATCTGCAACTCACTTCAAGTGAGTCTAATTGCTTTTAAAAAAAAAACTTATCAGCTAAAAGTATGTCATTGAACTTGTTGTTATTGGTAAGCTGGGTTGAATTTGAATAGGACGTGAGAATCGAAGCAACCTAGATCGAAAATGTTCGCACAATAATTGCTTAAAAGTAGAACAGGAAGCTCCCCATTATAAGGTTGGAAATAAAATTACCTATAAAAATAGGGTAAAATATTTCAACTCACTACGTGATGTTTTCATGACCTATTATTTTGGCTGGTGCTAGGGAGACCTGACCGACTATCTAACTCACTTAATGAAAGTCACTTGTGAATTTGAATTGCTGCAGTAACGCCAATGAATGAGCTACACGATCCAGCCCATTGGGTATAGGCCAGTAATGCCACAAATATGACAATACCTCTAGTATGTGTAGCCATTCTGCATTGATTGAATAGAATTTTGTGCACTCTAGGTCAACTTTACTGTATGCCCGCCCTGTCTTTGTTTTTTTTTGTAGGGCGTGTTCTTGTTTGTGTCTCAGTGCCTGTTGGACGAAGAGGTAAGACAGGATCGATATCATATCAACTCACTGCACTTGATGTTTACACCTTGCAATTGGATTGATCCTCACACAAAACAAATTGTGATAACGTCCAGTTCGACGTGGAATAGCTCTGGGTCTTTCTCATGCGGGTAGTCATCATTGTGGTGTTTTACAATTATATAATTACCCACTATAAACAGCAAGTTATACCCACTGCATGGGATGCCAATTGTATACTGGGATACCCATTGTTTCATGGAATGCCTGGCACGGCATCATGGGATGCCCAATGCATCATGGGATGCCCATTGCATCATGGGATACCCATTGCATCATGGGATGCCCACTGCATCATGGGATGCCCACTGCATCATGGGATACCCACTGCATCATGAAATGCATCATGGGATACCCACTGCATCATGGAAAGCATCATGGGATACCCACTGCATTATGGGATGCATCATGGGATACCCACTGCATCATGCAAAGCATCATGGGATACCCATTGCATTATGGGATGCATCATGGGATACCCACTGCATCACGGAAAGCATCATGGGATACCCACTGCATTATGGGATGCATCATGGGATACCCACTGCATCATGGAAAGCATCATGGGATACCCACTGCATTATGGGATGCATCATGGGATATCCACTGCATCGTTTGAGTGGTGCCGATAAGTTTATCCATCCCGTACTGAGTAAAAGATTACCACTCTGTTGCGATACAGGTGCGGCATAAATTGAAGTTACTCAAATCAAAGAGGTCATCGAAGGTCATTTCACTGACGTCATCGTCAAACGCGCAGGAGAAATCATCGAAAGAAACAATTGGTAGGTTTCATTTAATTGAATCCGCTTTAAACAATGACAGATTGCCACCTGTGATGTCATGTCTGCATGCTACCGTGGGGCAAAACACACACATCTAATTATTTCTCTCATTATCTTTATACATTTAACAGTAAATGTGATCAGATATAGTGAACACCAGTACATGTTTTTCAAGATAATGTATTACATAACTGCACTGGTTGCTCACAAAGTTATCACGCGACAACATCCAATTTTGTAAACAGGTTCGACAAGGTCTAAAACCGAGGCAATAGGCCTGATGCACAATGACATCACATTTTTTTTTACAATCACATGTGCTTTCGGGAGGTGTCAATGGAGCAACCGGGCTCCCATAAGAAAACGTACATGACTTGTAAAGAGTGACGTCATTGGCTGTCTGCCGCCCTCATGCGGTGTTACGTATCTGATGGCTAGTCTTGTTTTCCGTCGTAGTTTTGTCGAGATCATGCAGACAAGGCGGAGTCCTGACCGTGTCACGTGGAGGCGTGTCCAGACGCGCAGAGTCAGCAAAACTCAGACTGGGCACAGACATGCAGGAAGTTCACATCAACGAAAAGCAAGGTATACGAAGAGAATATTTCAGTTACAGTGGGTACATAGGGCGGGGGACGTCTCTATAGTCCGAAGTACCATTGGTCCGAAGTCCTATATTGGTTCAAAGTCCCATTGGTACAAACGTCCTATTGATCCAACGTCCCATTGGTCCGAAGTCCCATTGGTCCGACGCCCCTTAGGATTATGGTTAGGGTTAGGGTTAGAGGGTTAGGGTCAGTCAACCTGAGCCAGTGGAACTACACAGTATTATGTTTCATCAGACCAATGGGACTTCGGATCAATGGAACTTCGGACTATCGAGACTCAACCCTTAGGGCGGGGGAGGGGGGGGGGTACCAGAAGGGGAGGGGCTGCGTGCCCCCCTCCTGATGTCCATGCCCCATGGTGCCCTCATTGGAAATCTTTGATTGGAAAAAACATAGGGATCAGCTCAAGAAATACTAGTAGAATCTTGACAGTTGGTGCTAGTATTGGAAGAGTCAAACGTTGAATGTTGAATGTTATCACACGCGTAGCTTTTGATGACTAGCAATGCGACATGATCCCTCATAGTCGACTCGACCAGTCCACCCTTCTTTAACTATAGCCTAGTGTGCGATCGACAAATTGAAAGGTTAGTCAAACTATGGTTAACCATGAGTTTTGATGAAAAATAACTTTAAGAGTCGGGTTAGTTTATCAGGCAATGACAACAATGCCTCCTGACAAATCGTAGTGACGTCATAATGATGAAATTCCAATGAGCTGGATTTATGCCAAATGATTGCGATATTTCTCCAATAACTAAATGAGCGCTATGCATGCAATGCTTTATGTTCCCTTGTCTTCAGAAACACAGAAGCAGTCGGCACCCTGTGTTCCATCCTATGACGTCGGGTACAAACATGAAGACTTTGAAAAGAACAAACCCGACCTCATCAAGCAGCTGTTTAAAGTACAGGACAAGAGAGGTAATCACAAGACAATGACAGCCTGGCTTGGTCCCAAAACTTACACAATTCTATTCAACTGATTCAGATTGCTGCTATTCACTGTCTTTTAATATATCTGTGCAAACAATGGGCCGGATTAAGCCGGCCCGATGGCGTTATGGAATAAAACCTCCTACAGCAGTATACAGGACTAAAAGCTGACCCTCTCTCGAACACTAACCCGAAAAAAAACTATAGTGTTACTGCCAGCGTTTCCATACCTAGCCTTTTGTCTATTCATTTTGCTAAATTCAATATTCGCATTTCGAATTTTATGTGGGTTAAAAAGCTTCTGTCGTGAACAAATCATAATCTCCCCGGATATGGACGCAGATCTGATGCTTTTCAAGTTTTATCTTCTGCCTTCGTTTGCTTTGTCAGATCATGGTGAACAATTTGAGTTCGTGACCTCAGAATACTCAGTTTTGAAGAATGAAATTGGCGACAAGGATGGAACGGACCTGACCAGCCAATTGCCTCGTACTCCCGACGCAGGTAAACAAACCACCAAGAAAAACACATTTCTTTTCAACATTTTTCGAAAGTGTAACTCCAAAAAGCAAAGTCAGAATGGTGCCAGTTTTAAAGGCATATGATCATTTGTCCCTTAGTCCCCGGCGACTCAGGTAAAAAAAAAAAAAACCCGAGAATGTATTTATTTAATAATGTATGACAACTTCAAAATTGTAAAAGAGTGTAATACATGGGGAACTTGCTTGTCTTTAACCGACTTGCCTGATAAAATATACACTTATTACTTCGCTGAAAGCAATACACGGTGCTTGTCTCTTTCTTTAAAAAAAATATGGTTACAAGTTGAAAGAAACTACGAGATCATGTTATGAACATTCACATTCTTAACTCAGAAGCGGCAAGTGTGCAGGATGACTATCCGGAGATACGGCCATCTACACAGGAAACCGATATTACAGACAGTGAAGGTACAAAACACCACTTGATTCGCTGCCTCTTCTACTCAGGTGGCTTATGGTCGGCCGATCAAACCAGCCAGATATATTCTTATAACCCTGGAGAGGATATTTAGAAGGGGTGACAATTGAAGCTATTTTGGGAAGTGTGCCTAATTTGCATACATCGCTAATACCTGCCGTGTAATATATTTGTTCCCATATTTTTTATTTTTTATTTTTGAATTTTTTGAAAAGTATAGTTTGGGGATTCTTCTTACATATCCTTACTTAAACAACGTTTTCTAAAGCATATCAGAGAAAGATCCAATAATCGTTAAAATAACATCAGATTCAGATCGCTCGACCCCGAAAATACATGAAAAGTGTTATTATTTATGATTCTAGCTCGTTTAGTTCGATTGACCTCTGACCCGGTCGGCAGCCATTTTGGATTTTGCCAATATGGCGGCCCCTTGGGGCGTCCGTCTTGGCGCCCGTCAAAAATCGAAATAGGATGGTGTGGACGACATCTGGACCGACTTTTGGAAGAATCTGAACTAAACAGCCCCTGTTATGCTCTAACCTCCCTGACTATAATGCCTCATGTCACATCCCATCCGAACCATTTGTGACTTAACTTGACGTGAGATGGATGATTGTGGACTTGCAATTAGCCAAAACCTTTACGCGGAAATCAGTAATTCATTGTGAAGTGTTCACTTCGTTTCTTCATCTTGTCTTTCAGATCCATGGGAGCCAGGGGTCGTCAAGGAATGCTTTGCCGAACATAAGGGCGAACGCCGCTATAACACACGCGTCAGAGGCGAATGGAAGAAACAAGTCAAGCTGACAAAGATGTGGAGATACTAGGAATTTGGTTTCCTGACGGTTTGCAACTCTCAAACCGTCACTCCATGCCTTGCACCTAACCATATAGATGTATACCCATGCTTTACTTTGTTCCGATTTTAGGCGTCTGAAACCCGTCCGAAAAAGGGCTTTTATTTTATGCACAAATGACATGCTGTACGAGAGTCAAGTCTGGCATTGTCTGGCAGCCAATTGTAATAATACTAATTATGTAAAGAAATATTTCAATAGTTAAACGTCGGTAAATATGTATGTGTTCACTGTCTCATTAAAAATGCTAAGCAAGCGCGTATCCAGAGGGGGGGGGGGGATTTGGGGGGTCCCCCCCCAGCTCTGTCAAAAAACAAAAAAATTATCATACAAATTCCTAAAAATAAGTCGACAACCCCCCCCCCCCCCCCCCCGTGACACCCCCCTAAAATATACTGGTATAATGTCCGCCTGTTCAAAATACGGTACACCATTCTGTAATCTACTGTTAATAATCGTCGAATTTGAACCGCACCCCCTATTGAAATATGGTACCAGTCCCCCCCCCCCCCCCCCTCCAGTTTTTGATTTTACGGAGGCCAAGTGTCCGGAGTAAAAAAACCTGTATACATTTCCAGATTTTTTGCTGATGAATCTCCCCCCCCCCCCTCGAAAATTCCTGGATCCGCCCCTGCTAAGCACCCTTCTTTTAAAAAAGCTAAGCACTCTTCTTTTAAGATTTTGAGCGCTTTTGTTGCCTCAGACGAACATAATGCACAAATTACAAATGATAGACGATACCTTTAAACAAATCACTGCTTTTCCGAGGTGAAACTCGAAAATAGTACGGGGAGTGCATCTTTAAACAGTTCAGGCCAGAACGTTTTAGGTGTTCGTGGAACAAGAAAACTCTTCACGTCTTTCACCGTTATTTCCATATTATAGCCGATTGTCCCCAACAAATGAAATTTTACTTGGCAGATATTTTACCATCTATTAACGTCGCGTCAATCGTGGCCAGTTTTCGTTGGATTCCCAGAACGCAATGCAGTTAATCACGTGTCATGATGAGGAATTGAATATATAAAATTCAATTCAATGTGTGTGAGACAGGTATAACATTACAAAAAATCTTATTTAAATACACATTTGTAGTTTATTATGGGTTTTCTTGGCCAATTTCTCAAAAATACCTTTCAAATTCATCTTGATAGTGGCCGATTTGAAGCGAATTAACTCCTAACTGTCATTCCGTAGTTCGTATTAGTCTTCAGACGTCAGACCGGACATGTTCATGTTTAAAATGTTGTTCGTGTCATTCGGTTTAACTGATCATTAAATTAAGCAGTCTGTTTGGTTTAGTTGCATAAGAATCTTATTTTCGTTTTAATCTCCTTTGCCCTCTTTTTATTGTGTTCACATACATGTTTATTTTTTATGTGCTTAACCCCTTAAGGGCGGGTTATAATGGGGACATTCCTCCACACATAGAGCACTAGTGGCCTGCATGACTGCACAGCCTTTGTGTGGGAGCGGGACTGCACAAAAGCAGCAGCTGTGGAACTACCCACTAGCCACGTGCCACAGCATACCACAGCTGGCAACTGCATTCCAGTGAGGATTAGCGGCCGCGGCCATGACCGCTTCCCGTGCGCATGGGGTTTTAATTGTCACCTTTCGCTCTTTTAAATTCTAGTTTTGAATTGCGGTCTGGGTTTTCTTATATCTCTAAATTTCTCTCAATTAGCTTTATCTTAAACATGCTTCACTTCAGTAACATCTGCTTTTTTTATGCAACAAAAGGGATCAATATGGTTATTTTGTGGCTGCTGCTTTGTGGCCAAATCTTGCGGGAAACGGTTTTTTATGTATTGTCAAATTGGTACAAAGAAACTTAATCGATTTCTGACGAGCAAATTAATTACACGAAGCGGTTTCGAATATCTTTGCTTACATTTCACAAATGCTTGCTTAATGGCAAATTTGAATCCCCAAACTGACGCATCGTAAAGCTCCTGCGAATTTGAATGCATTATTTTGAAATCGAATCGTTCAAAAGTGCAGTCGCATGTATTTACATTTAAATTAGTCCGGCAGCCAAATGCCAATTTTTACCTGAACCTTGTTTTGGAGGATAAACAATATGTTTTGATAGATTCCTGTTCTGCAGACCATGGAGAATCAGAATTTGCATGATGACCTTCAATGAGGTTTGGGCATTTTGAGATAGAAGTGAAAATTTCCTTCAACTATTTTGCTTAGAAATCCATGAGTTGTTGAACTTTTTACAACTGTTGGTGGCGCTGTTAATTCTTTCTAATGTTTTTTTTATGAAAGTTGTTTTACCCTAAAACCCTATTAAATTGCACACATAAAAATGTAAAAGTAAATTAATTATTTTTTAGTGTCTTAAAAGTGTTAAAACATATTTATTTTGTGAGAAAAACCACATTTTTTACATTTAAAGTTGTGAAAGAGCACCAACCTGATCAGTCTGGTGCTATCTGGTACAGTGTGTGCCATGCAGTATTTTATGGGTCAGGGTACAAACACATGTAAACACTAGGACATGTGCTGATGTTGTGAGAATCACAAGTTTGTGAATGATGCTGTTGCTTTGGTGGGCAAATTTTGCCAAGTTGTTATGGTAAATATATGTGATAGTGGCCCAATTGTGATTTGATATGAGTAGTAGGATCGTGCCTGTCAGGTTGGAGACATAATTATTCTGCTCACAAAGGTGAATTGGAGCAGTTTTTATTTGACATTTCTGTGCTCATGTTGCTGTGGCCAGGCGGTGTGGCAATGGTGGCTGTGTAGGCAGTAGTGCCAGTGGAGTAGTGACAGGCGTATTCCAGTTTGTCTTTCTTATTGGCCAGAGCTTGGTAATAACAACATGCTGTGTTGCCATGATTACTGAATATATTTGTCAGACAAATTTAAAATAGTGCAGGTAATTCGGCCTGCCTTTGTATTTTTATTGTCAGTGGCTGTGTCTTGCTGCTTCAGTGCTTGTTATGACTTGTATTTTTCATACAACATTCTGGCAGACTGGATCAATCGTTAACAATATTTGTGTACCGCACCACTCAAGTTCAAGTAAAAAACCTTGTAAATATTTTCTTGAAAATCCCATAACAGGTACAGAAATAGGAACAAAGTTATTAGTATTAACAGATTATTCCCTGAATTTTGCTTGCACAAAACCGGTTCATCCTTGCTATTTTTTAAACCAGAAAACCACTTCTTCTTTTTTTAAAGAAAACACAAGTCTGAGGACAACTTAAATGCATGGTGGTGGCCAAACTCTATTCCATTGAACTTAACATGTAGAGGCGACATGTATGATTACGCCCGTTCCTAATACACACAAATTTATTTAGCGTGCATTATTTAAGACAATGATTATTGATTCTCTGTTTCGTTCAGGGCAATTTTAATAGGTCAGTTGGTCGGTCAAACATTCTTTGCGTTTTGAAGGACATTTCTGTGATAAGAGAAACATTACATTTAATGTTAAAAAAAAACCTTGGAGTGGTGAAGTAATATAAACAATCATGCTCACAAGGACAGATTTCTTTTTAAGTGTATTGCTGCACCAAAAAAAACATGCTTCTTGTCATATTGCACTCGGACTGAGAAACATTTCAATAAATACTTAAGACTGTAGTGAACATTCCACCCAATTACTTTATTAAAGCTAAATAGTTGCCCCCCCCCAACAATTAAACCATACAAAACCAGAATTTCAATACCTCATCGACCCATTTTAGTCCAATCATGCTTATTGGTCTTAAGAACTTAACAAGCAACATGGTTATGGCAATTCTTATATTTAACCTGATAGTTTTTGTCAGGTAACATTGGAGACAACTACCTATTATCCTTCCACAGCCACGCCCCCAATGTAGCTCTTACATCATTTCTCAGAAAGTCATACTTAACACCACATGTAATGGACTTGAAAATGTCAACATTATGAATTCGTACCTCAATTTTGTGAGTTTACAGTGTTGAAATCGATTTGAACCTGTTTATGCCCTAGCCACGCCCCTTAGCCACGCCCCTTAGCCACGCCCTAGGCCCCACTCTTACCACACCTCAATCAATTCATCAATTTTGAAAAGGCTATTATGCTTTATGCATCTTAACAGAAAAATCTTGGACATCTATATCAACATGTGTTAGTTTTTTTTTTTTTTTTTTTGAACTGTGCATATACCGTACGTATTGTATTGATAAAATATCAATAAAAACATAAATAATCGATATAAAAAATTGCCCTACCCTAAGAAGGCGTCATCATTCTAATTCTTCAAAAGTATGGCCCCCTTGACTAGAATATGCAGAAAAACAAAACATGGTTCACCCCCTGGCTGCCGGACTAAATGGCACAATCTTTTTAGTCACTGGACTGTGTCCCGGCCGCGAAATTTCTTTTCACAAACGGGATCTGACAATATCAAAAGAGGGCGCTCTCTCGGCGTTATGCATATTCATGATGTCCAGGGAAATTAGAGAATAAGTTATATAACATAGGAATAATAGTGTTTAAACCGCCGACGATTGGCAGCATTCGTAGGCTGGTTGGAAGAAGTCCTGACTTCATATCAGGTGATCCGAGTTCGAATCTCAATGAGCGTTTTTCACTTCTCATTTTACCTTTTAAATAACTAAAGTGAAGGAACATTTCTCACAAGACGTAAAGCCTATCTTGGGTTTGTGTTATGGAGAACAATCCATTAGATATGCATGTAATAGACCAATCAGAAGATGGAAAGCGGATGTCGCTTGGGAAAAAAAAAGATTTGCGTCCCGCCCCCCCAAAAAATATGGGGACCGGTAGCTAGCTTCAATTTAAAGCCAGTGATTGGATTACCTCTGCACGTTCATTATGATTGTTTATATTTGAATCGCTGCTTAGCTTTGTGCATGGACGGTTATTGAACACACGATTACCAAAAAAAACTCACTCTTGTCTTACCACAAAAAAAAATACGCAAAATCGTCAGTGTCTTCATGAAGGAAACTTTCAAGCATTGCAACTGCATGAGGTGTTAAATATTGAACACTAATTTCCCTTTCTTTATTTATATATGGCAGGGACACTTTCGAATTCAGCAAAAATCGAAGCTCACCATCACCTCGGAAACTGTGGCGCGGCATTTTGCAATAGGCAGATTTCGCGCAACCGTTACCGTTGTGATTTTGAATTCAAGAGGCAAAATGTTATGTGTTTTAGGGAAAAAGCCATGTGCATTGTATGAGGAGCTAGACCTTTCAACTCTTTGCCAAGCGAATATTGTCTGTTCTTTGCGACTTTCACTTTCTAGCAGCTCTGTGAAAGTTAACCCTTGGTTGGCCCCAGGCGCGGTTCGGGGGGGGGGGGGGGGTGGGGGGCTAGGCTTTAGCCCCAACCCCCACATTTTGTTTAGCCACTCCCCCAAAAAATGCAAACAAAAATGAAATAGCAGTAATGAGATTTTAAATGTTTTGATAATAACAACGAACATGTCCTGGAGCCATTCGTGAAAAGGAGGAGGCATTTTGTACACTATAGGTAATATAGTGTGCATGATTGCATGATTTTATCAGCGCTCCCGTGATGGAAAATATGGTACGAGCCCCTCCCCCCCCCCCCCCCCCCCCCACACACACACACACACCCACACGACTTGTGAAGCTCACGCACACGACGTGTGAAGCTCACGCACACGACGTGTGAAGCTCACGCACACGATTTTTCAAACGCACGCACACGACTTTCAGGGGCGTAGCACGGTCATTTTTATTGGGGGAGTCATTTTTTTTGAAAAAGGCACTTGCACATCTGTTGTGAAATGTAGACAGGTTTTTTCTCCGGACACTTGGCCTCCGTAAAATCTCACAAGGGCCAATATATGGTGCTTTTCAGGGCGATACATGTGCGAAAAAAGGCACCACTTATTTTTTTAATAGGGCACTTGTTCAGAAAAAAGGGCACTTCGTAAAAAAAGGGCACTCTTTTAAAATCATTGGGGGGGGGGGGGAGGGGGGGGTAAGCCCGTTGAAAAAAAAGCATTTGAATGGAAAAAGGCAGTCTTTAGAAAATATTTGGGGGGAGGGTAAATACCCCCTTACACCCCCCCCCCCCACGCGGGCTAAGCCTATAACTTTGCCTGTCCGTTTTATAACGCCATACGGAAGGCTCCGAGGCCGACAGTGTCCTTGGAAATATAGGGCACTCAGGGGACCAGGTCAGACAACGGGGTTCACAGACCTGAGTGATTGGTCTACCGTAAAAGGTTCCCTTTGCAACTTTCGAAGAGTTCATTCCAGGCGAAGTGCCTGTAAGTTTTATATCAAGTGAGGTCTGCCATTCATGAACTGGATGTTATAGAACTTTGACGGTGGCGACTACCTGAATTTGTCCTAGTAGTCGCCATTTTGAATCTGCTGAGCTTGCATAAGCCCAAAAGTTCCGACGCCAGCACAAACATGGTTTCTCTCTTAATGGAGAGTATTTGAACCACACTTGAGGGTTTGCAGTAATGAAGAACCCCAGTTTTTCACCACTGTGTTTCATGGTTTTAAATTGGACCCGAAAGTCCCTCTATTTTGTGGGTTCAATAAAGAAAAAAATTGTTTTCAAACCGAGGATTGACCTCATTACTACCTTTACGGGTGAACATGTTTGGAGAGAAAATTACACCCAAACCAATTTCGTTACTCCATCAAAAATTAGCACGCATCAATACAAGAGAGCAAATCAAGCTTTAACGTGATCTGCATGTGTCTTAAATTATTGCAAAAGTTCTGCCAGGGAGGTACACATGATAAGAGGGGAGGAAAGGTGTTGAACCTGTTGAAACATTTCCGAGACTTTTTAGCAGGGTCCTTGGAAATGTAGGGCACTCACGAAAGCCCTGAACCCCTGAAATAAACACAGTTCCGGACTGTTGAGGACAGCGTCGTGAGAAAAAATATAATTGTATCATGAAAAAAACCCAATTGTATCATAGACTGTGCGAAGCAGTGTTGCAATTTTCCATAACAATACTTGCACTTGCCACACAAAAGTCCTGCCATAACAAAAAAAGGGTGTTGAACCTGTTGAACACATTTTTTAGCAGGCCTGAAAGCCTTTGGAAAAGTGTCAAATAAACACAGTTCCGGACTGTTGAAAAAAATACAAAAAATTGTATCATAGATTGTGCGAAGCAGAGTTGCAATTTTCCATGACAATACCTGAACTTGCCACACAACTATGGAGTCTGCATTTCATTAAATCGTTCCCATATCACAATTTTTTTTAGACAGTTCTAGCCGTGGTTAAAATGACAAAAGCGTGTAATTGAATAAGATAATTGACTGCAGGCCGACCCGTTTGCCTAACACTCGTGATAAATACGTGTCTCCCGGATGGCTGATTCCATTCAATTGACCTAACTGCGATATTAATAAAAATTCAGCCTCACAAAGGAAGCTTTTCGATCAGCCTGACACCTCCAGCACCTCAAACAAAAATGCCGCCGGGCCTCAAAATGGTCTTTCAAAGTAGACTTTTCCCAATTAAGTATTACTTGTTGTTAAGGAAGGGAGCGGGTGAACTAAGTTTGGCGGTAAACTAAACATGACAATTTTCAAATCCACTTGGTGTCGCCTCATTGAAAAGAACATTCCATTTGTCACCTCATGAAATTATTATTACCATTGCATTCATAAATATACATTATCTGTATAATATCAAATCAGATCCGCGGGTGCATAAAGTAATCATTAGTAGCAGTTTTACAATGGAATTCAAGGGATATTCTTGTCTTACGTGAATTATTTCTTTTGGCTTCTACCGGAAAAAAACGAACAATTAAAAAAATCAGTTCATGCATGTGCCGAGGAAAGGAACGGAAGCGCATAAGAGCGAGAATAATTTTAAAAAAATCTAATTGTTATCTATAGACCCGGCGAGTTACTATATCACTGCGATGATATAATATCGATTGGATTTTTTTTTTGTATTGTCAATTGTCCTTCTACGCTTCCGTAGAAAGACAATAATTAAACTTGTGTCAGTTATTACACAGGCCATCCATGGACATTTATACACCAGACTATTTGGTATGGGCTCCGTGTGCGAACAAGAGAGGGCGCTTATTTACAGCCTTCGAGAGCCACGTGGACGGGACGCGATATTTTTATTCTTTTTTATCTTGAACAACTAATTTGGATACTTTGTGCGCTTTCCTATGGAGCATGGTATTATTACCAGGCTTAAACGGAGGCTAGTATTATTCAACCTGATACGGATTTTTGACTTTATTTCCCGTTTTTAACACAATCCTCCCAAAGCCTCGAAATAGAAAAGACAAAGAAAATTCCTGCTATAGAAATTGGTATCCGACTAAAAAATAACATTTCTAATATAAAACAAAAATTGTTGGAAAAAGGAGCAAAACCTGAAGCAGGCAGGATTCGAACGCGGACCCCCAATCACGAGCCAGCATGCCTATCCAGTAGGCAACGACCGTCACGGTGCTCGACCAAACCCTGCAATTCATAAAAAAGTATACTTTCACACATATAATACAGAGAGTTTACGCGTAGATAAAAGGTTTGTACGGCTATGCGGCGCCCTAAATAAACATTTCGCGGACGGGACACACCGAGTGTCTTCTATATAGCTATAGTATTTGAATAGAGCTCAATGGTGCAAACCACGCAATACTAATTTTATTCTCAATGGACACAAAGCCATAGCGTCTTTTCATGAGCGTCAGACGTCGTCGGCAATGGATTCGAATGCTAGTCTAATTACCAGACTATTCGATTGTCAATCCAAATGGTCGGCCCATCCCTCCCTATCTTACCGTTGAGGGGGTACTTGTGCACGGAGCCAAAGTACCCTTTGTGCCATTGACAAATTGAGACTCGCAAAGAAAGAAAAGACCTCCCACCATAACGTCACACAAGGGCAATATTTGTAGAATATGTCCTTGCAAATAATGGCTATTTGATGACATGCGAAATCTTGCAAACGTCTTGAATGTTATTACTAGAAAAGTATAGATTCTCTAAAGCAGCGGCGGCGATTTCTTGTCAACATGGGGGGTGCAGCTGTCTCAAGATTGAATGGGGGGGGGGGGGTTTACTTTTTAACAATAATGGGCGCTATTCAAAGATGGATGTACGTACTGCAATTTTCGTTGACAGGCGTTCACAATCAATATCTTACAGCTTTAGGGGAAGATGTAATAAATGAAATTCTAATAAATGATGTGCATTCGAGTTAAAACGTTGTAACGGATTTACAAAATTACCCCGGACTAATAATACCCACGGTGGTCACCCAGCGAGTGTGGTACGTCCTTTAGGCAACCGAGAACCGGTGGGGTTGGCCCGTGTGCACAGGGCTAATAAATATACCCTCAATCAAACTCCTGGGACCAGTGGCGGCGCCAACTCTTTTTTGTGTGTGGGTGGGTTGGGGGGGCGGGCAATTTGGGGGCAAGGATATTTTTTTTGGGGGGGGGGGAGACGGGCACTCAAAAATACGCCACTACAGCAACTTAAAAGTGTAGTCATGACACCACGAAGTAACACCCAAGTCCACTAAATGACAAATTTTGGTTTTACGATGTAACACTCACGTGTGCCCGCGCACATCGAATACTGCCGCGAACGATTTTTGTTTTCCCAAAGTAGCAACTCTCTCTCTGTTACAGAAATACTTTTTGGAATAAAAGAAAAATGTTTTTAAACGTTTGACAGGAATGCAATTAATCCCTGTTCTTGTAGGATTACAGACAATTTTAATAAGAAGCCTTCAAACTGGTGAAATAAAGACTAGTGTAACTTCGTGTAGACGAACATTACCGCGTGGGTGTACACGAGTGTTACTTCGTGAAAACGAACAGTAAGTCGAGCTCATTTTTTTTTAGGGGGGGGGATTTCCGGGATTGCCACACATGCTATCTATTTACGATTTTATCTTTTGTTTCTCCATGCTTGTGCTAAATTTATTTGGTTGGTTTTGATGTCTCTTAAGATAAGAAAGAAAGTGTTAAATTGGGGTATTTTGGACTTGATACAGGGGAAAGGTTCATTTTGGCCACTCTCAGTCCCCTGCTCTGGTCCTGTAACCCCCTCCCCACGAAAGCAGCGACCAAAAAAAATAATCAATAAATGAAACATATAACAAATTAAAACAAGTTTCAAACATAAACGATTATATTTGTTTGCAATCAACTCAATAGTAATTTGTCGGTGGGTAAGTTTAAGCAACGAAAACTTGTTCTGGTGTTTAATTTGCTGATCCCAATTGATGATTATAATTTGAAATTTAAGCGCTTGTGATGTTAAAAAGACAGTTTTTTCTAAAATTCAAGACACCATTTGAAATTTCTATTGTAGGCTATCGAACAGCTGTGTGGTTGTTCAGTTACAATCGCTATCTATTAAGTAGTTAAAGATTTATTCGTTTCAAAAATATCCAAGAATAAACTTCGTTTATCCAGTGCCACTTTTCTACATTATGTCAATTCAATCTGGAACTTTGCTTTTTTGTAATCACTGAAGCAATATCTTTATAAGTCTATCAAAATGTCAGAACGTCTGGTTTTTATGTACTTATAGATCATAAACATGACCAGTAAAACTTCCTTTGCCAATACATTATAATTAACAAAACATTCAATTTTAAACGATACAAATTATTCTAAACTACAAGTAACATAATTATGCTATTCAAAGATTAAATTAATTAAATTAAGAGGTCCATCTAACTCAATTGCAATTGGTGTTGGAGCCTTAACAATGAGGAGTCCGATTTTGAATTTAAAGTTCCTTTGTGAGTTGCAGCTCTGTGCAAACTCCCAAGTGATGCAGTTCGTTGGTTCCTTAGTTTTTCACAATGATGCCATTGGCGTGAATGAGTGCGGCGTATTGATCTTGGTCCATGTTTCTCTCATGTTAAAGCTGGACAGTTTATAAAACAAGCAAAAGTTAACTACTCAATGTAAAACTCGAAGGCATGGAGGTCCGTAAACGTTGATGCCACGTTGATGCAGAGTGGGATGTTTTCACCGTTCCTCCACCGTGTAGCCGGCCAGCCGTCAACAAAATGAAATTCAACCGTTAATTTTGGAAGTGATACTGGTTGCTGGTGTCCGTTTGGTAAGACTGTTTGATGATCATGGCCGATGAGATCGACTTAGGTATCGACAGTGAGAGCTTCAGGTTTGACGTGGCAAATGTTCTCACGCATCTCCGTGGTCGTCCACTGTGGGGTTGATTTACAGAAAAGCGGTCATCTTGCACATGTAAGAGAACAGGTTGTCGCATCCGATGTCATTCCATTCGCCATATTTACCATACCACATGTGAGTACATTTCTCACCGCCACCGTAGTTGTCGGGTTGGCCATCGCTCCATTCGGTGAAGTTGACGACCGACTTATCTGTCCAGATGAAGTTCCCTTCCTCTACCTCGTCAGTGAAGCCGATCCATAGGCCACCTTCTGCTGTCCCACGGGTCGACTTCCACACCGTGAAGAGCAGATTGTTCTCCTGTGCGTTAGCTATGGACGTCAGGTGACCCTGGCCGACATTGGTAAAGTCCTGGCAGTGGTTCTCAGCTTCAGAGAAGGTCTTGGCATTGCCGAACAAACGGTAACAGTAACCGTTGTAGAAAGTCCACATCGGTGGACACTTGGGGCACTCTGCTTGTTGACATACCGGGGCAAAACTAACCAACACGACGCACCACAAGACTCGCATGAACGCCATGTTGTGTACAAGTTGTCTTCATACACCGATGAGTGCCAACGTCACCAGCCAGATTGCAGTGGCAGAGAGAGGCTAAACGATAAGACGGCACCGCTTATAAAGCCTCGATTGATCCCACTTTGACACAATGCAAACCCGACATGTACTTCGCTTTGTTTGTTTGGTCCGGCATGTGCGCGCTCCAACTTGCATATTGAGCATTTCTTTAAGACTTAGGACCGCACCCATGCCCTGTGAACGTCCCAGTTGGTCAAGCGTGTCAGTATGTAGGAACGTTTGCTTAGCATGTCCATTAAAATGAATGCACACACATCGAATGCGTCTGTATACTTCCGTCTTTCTGCAATTCGTGACTTTTGAAGCTGCTACCATTGCTGCTCTATCACGTGTATTACGAGTGACTATGATCCGGCTGGGATTTTGGACACATTCAATGATTATTTGGATACTACAGTCGATGCCCTTTCTTCGTAAAGGGATGATTCACGGAAATAAAACTTAAGTTTGAGGCCAAGGACGTTGATAATCTAGGGAAGACTGCTCAATTTGAGTTTTGTGGTCATTGTAATGATAACGTCCACGCCTTCTCAAAAATACTCCTCTACGTCCTTTCCAGTTTGCTCATATTAATATGAAATGTGATACTGCATATTGGAGGACCGAATTGTAACATTTTAACTTTGAAAAAAAATGGTGTTTTCATAACTCACGGCACGACTAATTGATGTTGTTTATACCCCAGACACCGCATACAAAAACAAACGCAAATGGAATGCACATGCAGGCACCAGACTGTTCCTCATTTGCATACGTGTTCGAAAATCTGGCACGTGCAAATGATTCAATACAAGGGTGAGAAAGCAGGTATTGGTGGGCGCGTACTGCTCGACACCCTGAGGACGAGGTTGGGGGAATAATTTTCTAAAGTTTTAAAGAGGGTGAACGTGCTTCTGAAGTATATATAAACTACAAACTAATGCTAAATGTGAAAATATAAACTTTACAAAGTTCTACATATTTGGGTACATGTTCCAACTGTGGCCTTTATTTACGGAGGTAGTCCAGTAAATGGGCCGCATTTATGGGGCTATATGGTAGTCTAACCATGCCAAACTGTTTTTCATGCATCTGAACCAGTAGTTCGAACATTGTGGACTTTCAATACTGTGTATGAGAGTCTTGAAACTGAAGGTACTGAAAACATGTGTGGCCCTTGCTGTAATTTTGGGCCGAGTTTAGATAGAGGCCGTCGGCAACAACAAAGTATCTCAGTTTTGCTGGTTTAATTCTGTGGGACGAAGACGAAACAATGTTGGTGAGTCTACGTCAAAAATCAGTATCTCAAGTAAATAAGTTAAAAGTAAAATAATAGAAATGAAACAAATAGAATATTTAAAATAGGTCTAATAATGCAAATACCGACGAAAGAATCATTTTCTCAGTGGTCAAAGAAGCAAGTAACTTAAGAAGGAATAATTAAATAATCGGAAACAGGGAATAGTCTGACGTTAATACTCTTACTGTTACTCCCAAATAAAGTCAAATAAATACATCTATAATCAACGAAGTAATCATCAGAGCGGCGAACAAGAATGAGTAATACAATGTATGATAGTTTATAGCGCTAAGCAAATGATAATCATACAAAATAAAGTGAATTTACAGCAAAAGATTATTACCTGTGGGACGAAGATGAAACAATGTTGGTGAGTCTACGTCAAAAATCAGTATGAAGGAAGCGCGCGAAACCTAGCATAGAGGGCGCTCTCCGATTTAAATAATATATGCAGGTAGATAAAGAAATTGTCACGTAATCAGGTAAGTAAAGAAAAGATGACATCACCGGGTTGGGTAAAGCTAAAAAAAATAGACGGGGGTTCGGAAAATAAACATACATTTTCATGCAAAACAAGAAAATAGACTGACATCTGAAACAACCGGTTTAGCAACTCTTCAGCACTGCATCAATCAGCTTTCAGCTGAATGTGCCAAAAGAAATATCCAGGATGTCCAGTTATGTAGGTCACTATTTCTACGCATTTCTCCATAGTCAGGCCCCAGACTAATAAAAAAGACAGAACCACAAATACTCACAAAAGAGATTTATTCGCATGGTGCATCTTTCCACCATTCAAACCTTCAAATCTCACAAGTGGGTTAACTTAAGGTTAAACTTCTGACGTATGTAGCCTTCGCACGTTGTAATCCACACTTAATCCCGATAGCAGGATCAAGGCTTATTTTAATGACATCTTTGACAAAGCACAACGCACAACTCTGTACCCGCAATTGTAAAACAATCAATTAGTCCTGCCGAGCGTCAACAAAAAGTGCCAAGTGGCACACGCATATACAAGATATTATATGTATACAAGATAATACGGTTTCAGTGGTAGTACAGAGAATACAGGATTCATAACCTCAAAAAAACTTGATAAAGAAAAGAATGACGGCATTAGTAGTACTAAAAACAGACGATCCACCCGTTATGTCATTCAGAAACACAATGTTCACCCTGTCTAGCAGCAAGGAACAGGTGAATTCATCAATGGCAGACGACGGGAACCGCAACCATCTAGCGGCCGATTTTAAAGAGTTCGGAGATCAGACCACCTTTCACGGTCTGCGTTATGTCACCAACAACACATACCACGGGGTTCGCAGGTCGGTGAAATGAATAATTATAACAATTGTATAACAGCAGCAAATCTTTTATTTTTGTTCATGTTCGACACGGAAAAGCAGTGACTTTTTTGGATGAAACAAGAGATAGACCAGTTGTAGAAGTTTATGGTAATGTTGATGAGGTTCAAGCCGGCTTTTCGAGCTAAAACAAATACATTGCAGGTTCAAAACAAGCTGCAAAGTGTCTGTTATTTAAAAAAAAATAACTGAAACTAGGGACAAGACGTAGAGAGTGAAATGTATTCAATAGATTGAGTTCTCAATACACATCTGTTGTTTAAATGAGTTCCCGCTTCAGTGATTGTTTGTTTTTTTGGGGGGGGGTTTAAAAATTATTTTAATACAACAGAGTAGTTTTTACCTTATAATTGTCTGAAATTAACTCTTTAGAAATGCTCATTGACTGAAACCGCCTTTAGGTATTTTACGTAAGCCCTAAGTTTGGCTTGGAAATTATACTGTTTTGGGAGTACGTTCGGCATAGTAATATTGTACACATTACAATTTTGATTGATTAATCTCTTTTTTTATCTTCATTTTAAATTTGGACGAGATTCCCATTCCCAATAGAACTGATTAGAAGTATTAGCCCGATTTTCAGATGCATTCAGCTCATGACCATACATAATTTATCTAATCAAATCTGATATTTCGGTACTCAAATCGACGGGTGTTTTGTTTAAGTGTGTAATTGTAATACAGGACAGTGGTCGTTATGGATTAGTTGAAAAACAAGAAAAGCAAATATAAGAACTGTTACACCTGTCTTACTAGAGCATATATTTACACAGAGACTCTGGGTATAATTGATTGATGAATTGTTGAACCGAAAAGATACAACAAACGCATTTTATATTCCAGACTGATATGGTTGGCAGTGGTCCTCGGTATGACAACTTGGCTGATCATCAACGTCATTCGAGCCTTCCTCCTGATGTACCAGTATCCAGAGACCAGCTCCATCTCCGTCAACTACGTACCCAACGTCACCTTCCCTGCCGTCACGATATGCAATATCAACCAGTTCCGTAGAGACGCATTGGAACCACACGCTCTCCAGTTACTCAATCAGGTCATAGACCACTTTCATAGGGCGCCCTCACTGAAGGCAGTTTTTTTTTAAATAGAGAGAGTAACAAGTGTCTCCCCATGATTATCAAAGGGGAACAAAGACTTGCCCTTGCTGTCCTACGCGAGCTCGTTGGCTCCCCTCTTAGCTGGCACAGAAAAGTGTACATGTAAACAATAGTTGACGTCATTATGTCATAAACAAATCCCAATGCTTAATAATATTTTTCTTTCGTTTTAGAGGGATTGTAGAAAGAAAGAGTCTAAGATCTGAACAGGTCTGTGAACGTGTAATTTTGAGAAAATTGGATTGAAATTGGACCAGAATTACCTCTCTCTGTTTTGAAATGGCTAGAGAGATTTTTTTTTTCACATGGAGACCGGCTTCAAGAAATCAATTGGGGTCGATCATCTTTAGAAGGACAATTCATTTAAAAGTATTTGACGTAAACCCCATTCTCCTCCCCACAAAACGGCTAGGAAGTGAGAGAGCGTAAATCTAGCTTAAATTTGATGTCTCGAACCTCTGAAAGTTGTGACTATTTGTTCTGTTATTGATACGGAGGTATTTATCATTCGTTTGTCATGGACTCTTTCGACCCGTCTGCACACTCAGGTCTTTAATCGTTTGGAGGCACGGGGCAACATTAGCGTGGACCTTACAGACGCCAAGCTGTTTCCCTCCACAGACCAAGGCAACGTGACCAACGGCTTTGTGCGGGCGGCTCACCGCATCGAAGACATGCTGTTGAAATGCCAGTGGGGTACAGAGTCCTGCTCGCATCTGAACTTCACGCGGCGTCTCACGGACTACGGTGTCTGTCACACGTTTAACGATGAGCCAGCTGGCGAGCGAGGGGTGTTGACGGTGCGGAACCCGGGCAGCAGGAACGGCTTGTACATGAGGTTGAACATCCAGCAGGATCTGTACACGTTCGGAGAGAGCACGGCGGCTGGAATGAAGGTACAACATGCACTGTGTATCATATCAGATAAACCATATGCATAAGGCGGAGTTACATGGAGGTTGTTTTGTACCGCTTGAGTAGGCATGAGCAAATCGTTTGTGCATTCTGCATCTAATTTCACACACAAAAAACAATAAATAACACCAACTGAATTATGTTTTACTCTTCTGTCAGGTGTTACTGCACCCCCAGGGTGAGTTTCCCATCATCAAGGAGTTTGCTTTCTCCATCACGCCTGGTTTCGAGAATTCAGTGGCTGTTCGTCAGCAGACGGTACGTTCAGTGCATCATAAAAGGCACAAATAAAGATGGAGCACAGAAATGTGCCCCGAACAGAACATATAATTTCTGCAAAGTTTCTGCCATGCAAACAATTCTGCTTAACAGTGACATGAAATAGAGCCTACGAAAACCATGTATATTAACTGCTAAACTGTCGGGGTGGAAAAATAGGTTAAACTCACCAAGACAAGGTTTTCTTAGATTTTTCTTTAATTAACAAACAAAATGTTCCACAGGCAATATCCAAATATTTTCGTAACTGTAAATTCAACTTTGTTGTAAATTTAGCCTAGTTGTACATGGATGAGACTCATGTTGATCAGAGCTTGTTTGATATTGTCAATCTTTAGGTAACAAGCTTGAAGGAACCATACAAGTCGAATTGCACAGAAGGCTTCTTGAAAGAGTTTCCCTTTAAGTACTCCGTTCCTGCGTGTCAGCTTGAGTGCAGGGCTCGTTACGTCATCGAAAAATGCGGCTGTCGAGACGTCAGATGGCCAGGTAAAGACTTGAAAGAGAGGCCCTTTAGACCTTTTCATGCTGCCACCATTTCAGTTTTGCGCCTGTATCCAATCAGTGGCGCACTCAAGGGGGGGGGGCTCAGGGGGCTTTAGCCCCCCCCCCCCCCAGGTTGTCTTTTTTCCTTACTTTTTTAGACGTCCCACTATGTTGTGTTTTTTTGTTTTTGGGTGTGTTTTCCACCCCTCATTAAACATTTGCACAATAAATTGGATTGAAGTAAAATGCTTCCGTTTTCAAGTTACATTCGTTTCTCACTGCACTTCCCGTAACACCAGAAGTAAAGGTGAAATTGCTTTGTATCTGGTAATGAAAATGTTACCGAGGCAATATGTTCAACAACATACACACACACACACCCACGTGTGTTCACAGTCGATCGTGGACGTCCTATTGTCCCTCTTTTGTTTGTACTAAACTTTTTAGGAAGACTCCCATAGGTTTTGTACACGACCACAATCGTGGACGTATACTGGGAATCGTGGACGATATTGTTCTCTTTTGTTCTCTAGTATTTTTCGTCCACGGTTTGAAAAGATTAGCAACACGTACATGTTCGTTTTATATACGCTATATGGACATTCCTTTGTTTTCCCGTAGTTAAGAAAACTCGGTACATAACTTTTCGTTAACTGTGAAAACTCTTTCAACCCAATTGCTTTTGTATGATTCCCTTTAGTGTTTCTCTTCATTTTGCCACGGACAAACCTAACCCCCAAAATGCCTCTAAACCCGTTTCCAGAGAAGGCGAAACGTTATGTGGACACGGCTTAGTCCACATAACGTCAACACAACTTGCATTATGTGGACATCTTTTGTTCACAAGTCCACATAGTGAATGTAAGACAAACTCATATTTGTATTTACCTAAAATCTTTGGTCTCTCTTTTGTTTGTACTTCCATAAGACCTCCCATACGTTTTGTACACGATCGTCAATTGTAGACATTGAGAAATTGGGGACCCTATTGTCCCCTATTGTTTAACCTCCCCTATTGAAACAAAATCACGCACACAGGATTTTCATCATCATCGATCTTTTGTTTATAGTCAAACTTGTTTTGCAACAGCTACTATTAGTTTTGTACACGTTTTCTAATCGAGGTCGTCCTCGATTTGACACCTGTCCTCAATTACTCGTTCATGCTTCATGTGTGTGTCCTGGATGTACACCATAAATACAGACACAAAATCTGGCACTCCATGTAACGTCATGATAAAATCACACTTTTGTCCATCTTTGGACAAGGCCTTACTTTCATATCATGTTTCATCTTCATCTTATCATCCGTTTTGAGAAAAAAAATGAGATTATTTTGATTTTGAAGTTTCCGTTGGATATTTGAATTCACCTTCGTTTGACCTTCTGGTAACCCCGGAAGTTCTTGGTCTTGTGCTTGCCGAACAACAAATGTGTATCAAGGATGGTCTATCATACCACAAGGAGTGAACATGATTGCTCATTTTGTTCACGAGTTATAAATAAATATATATGGTAATTTCATTTTTAATGAACATCGCTAGAAATTGTATACAGGTGACGTCATCACGACGTCACAGTAATAGGCACACCTTAAGTTTAGAGTTGGTTTCTGTTCAAAGTTGCAAGTTTATACTATTTACCGATTAGAAAAGAAGATGTGGATAATTATTGTATGGAAAAAAATAACAAGAGAGAATATGAACTATTTAAACATATTTTCTCAATGACGATTATTGCCCACATATTACTAGGTGAAAACAAAGTGTGCCATTTTGCAAACATCTGTCTTAACTTTAAACCCATATATTTAACTAATACTCATCACATTATGTACAGGTTCTGCAGAAAAATGCACCATAGAGAAGCTGGTAACATGCGCGTACGTCTACGAAGGTAAGACGCGAATACGGGCGATTCCCAATAGTGCGCCTCCAAGAGTTTACAACGCGTTGGCCAATCACAATGCGCGAAATCAGTCGACCTTTTCCAAACGCGCATTGGGTCGACAGATTTTGCGCATTGTGATTGGCCAACGCGTTGCAAACTCTTGGAGGCGCACTATTGGGAATCGCCCGTATTGTAGCACGAGCCATTAACAATGAAGTGCGCCACCACGTGCGAGTCTCACAAATGCACCTGCCAATTTTCCTAAGGCCGTATTTCTCACCGAATGAGGGCACTGCAACGCCCCAATGTATCTGCCGCGGTCATATCGGGAAAAAAAATATCTTCGAATATTGCTGTGCAGCAGTGCAGACCATTTTGGAATACCGAACTCGCTAATTGGTATCAGAAGTGTAGTTTGTAGTGAAACAGTGGTTTCAGTTGAATCAAATGGGAATGATTTACCTACCAAAGCATTTGCCTAACTCATGTATAATTATTGTATCTATCGCACAGATGAATTTCTATCACGCGGCGAACGGTGCCACTGTCCCATGGCCTGCAAGACAACGACATACGACAGCAAGGTGTCGCTTGCCTTCTGGCCAGCTAAATATCTCTTGAAACAGCTTCGAAGAGATTCCAACATGTCTGAGGATTTCATCAGGTACACTCTAAAATGTCCCTGGTCCAATGGACCCTCAATCGGAGTTTTGCTTGGCCTGATATACTTTTCAGGGTCAACATTGACACTTTTTGGGGTCGAAATGACAATTCTCTGAATCATTGTCTCTGTCCGGAAACCACGGTCAAGCTGTATCAAAGTATTATTTTCAACCCAAAAAGAAGCTGAATCCAAGTCAAATCTGATATGGGACTTTTTGTAATGTAGGATCATACTAATAGTCTGGTTCCCTGACCAGACCATTGCCTGGATTAGCTTAATACATAGTAGGCCAGGTAGCCGGAACATTTATAATAATATTATTGTATTATTAATATAATGTATTCAAAATTTATCTCATAGGTTTTATGCAGTTACGTACTAGGCCACGCCCAGTGACACGACTTTGTTATGCAAATGACGCACTCGACATATTTTAATTGACGTCAATAAAGTAACATTCGCGTTGACAGCTTTATACGACTAAGTTCCTACAAAATCAAAAGCACGTTAATGAAAATTTAGGCTGCCGTTTAACGTCAATTGTCGCACAAGCAAAATTCGATATGGGGACGTGTATTTATTTTATAAAGTATAGTATTTTATGATAGTTCAACTTGAAAAATATGTTTTTTGGTATTTTTAGGGAGAACTTCTTGGATGTGTACATATATTTTGAAGAAATAATGTACATGGACATCGAGCAACAAATGGCTTACACTTTCCAAAACGTCCAAAGTGAGTCGAGCACATAGTAATTTTGCATAAATTCCTGACTATGTTGAATTTATATGGTCAGGCATCATGTATCTTCCCCCTTTTTTGGGTGGTCTGTAGGTTTTCCTTTTCTTTTGCGAAGTGCAAAAAAACCAAATAGCAGATAATGACGTCATCCTACTAACAAATCAGTACAGAAAGAATAAGAAGTAGTCCTCTAAGGATCAAAGGAAAATAAACAAACATAGCGAGCCAAAAGCTACTCTTTTATTTAAAATTTAGGTAGGTTAATTAGGCATATGTGCAATTGTTTAATCGTAAACAGTCCAAATGATGGACCTTTTTTTCTAATTAATTCAGCCACGGTGAAGCCAGGCGCGATTAAGGACTGTGATTTTGCCCCAAATTTGGAGGACAGGCACCTCCAAGCACACAGTATTTGTTTTCCACTAGTGCGAAAATGAGTCTGCCTAATTTGCAGCCAAACCCATAACAGTGTGCGTATTAGTAAAAAGGTTCATTGTGTCCACCGTGCGAACATATCGGGAATGCCACCACTGACCGACGATTGATGATCTTTCTGCAGGTGATATAGGCGGATACCTGGGACTATTATGCGGTATGAGTCTGATTACGCTGGTGGAATGGGCGGATTTTATCATCATTACCATCTACAAGAGGTGTCACGGACTGATGGCAAAAAGGGAACCAGTCTAAAAGTAGTTCAGGCGCAAAGGCTATTAGACCAATCCGGGCACGCTGCACTTCTATCACGGATGCCCCCTTCAATGGCCAAACCTCGTGCTAACTATAGCTCCGATAATCATTCACTGGGGCGTTGCTTTGTACAATAGCATGCACAATGGTTTCTCCATTGAAGGGGGCCTCGCGAGTTTACAGTGATCACGTGCCCGGATTAATAGAGGACACCATAGTCCACGTCTTCGTAAATTCATGATGACAATACACGTAGCCGTAGCTGGCGAAGCCCGTTCGGACTCCGCCTACAAATACATGTAAACAAAAAGTGAAAATATGGGCAGTGACTTGTAACTTACCTATACGTTCTTTGGATGCATTTTGTAACAGGGGAAGGGTGGTTATCTTCTCGAGTGTTTGCTCTTTATGTTTTCTGTTGCCTTCCATGCTGCCTAATGCCTTCAGTGAACATATTTCACTTCAAGGCTGTTTTCATTTCGAAACTCGTTTTAATTGTTGTGTCTTCAGATAAATTAATTTATGTATATTTAATGTAATTTATGCATTGATTTATTAAGTTTTCTTTAATTCCGAGTTAAACTGGAGACTGAACGATTTAGAGTGAAAAACAATCTAAATTTAGATTGAAATACTCTGAAAAAGAATCATTGCAGTAGAAACTCGAGTGAAAACTTGATATTTTAGTGGGAGTCGATTTTGAAGGGAACGATTTTCACTCTTTGAAATAAAAAAGTTACGTCCTTAGCAACTCGAGAACCTTTTGTTGAAAAGAACCGTTTAATTAATAACCGTTCATAAATACCAAAAACGGTTTACCAGTTTCTTTTTGTCCGAGCCCGTCACGTGGCCGGATTTAAAGGAATAATAAAGACGTGGTTGGCTGGTCTAATTAAACTCTTTTCCAGTGTCACGTGAAATTTGGACTCCCGTGAATCCTGTGACTTATACCGTTTTATTGGCTGAACGTTCATAATCTTCACATACGCATGCGCAATACTATCGGTGAGTCAGAATTTCATATTCCTTAATTCACAATGTTAATATACACCAGCACAGCTGCGTTGTGCGCCACATCGCGACGTAGGCTCGACGCCCACGCTAATCTTTGTGTAAAGAGTTGTTTACGAAACTCCCGAGTTGGACATAACATAATATAGCTAGTGGGTTGTTACGAGAAAAAAAATGAGGTAAATTTGTTTGACCTGTTTTGACTTTTGAACCGAAACGTTTAAATTATTTTAACAAAATGTATTTATGTATGGGAATAAATATGTACTTGGTCGGCATTAAACACTACGTTTAAGACCGGTTGGAGTCTGGATGCTGAAATTAATTCTGCTCGGGTAATTATCAGCATCAGGACTCCAAACGGTCTTAAACAGAGTGTCTAAAATCGGCCAAGCACATTTTATTCCTTATTAATAACTACCGTTTATTTCAATATGGGGAGATAGCTGAACTGCAAACAAACTTGGAGTTTAAGACAAGATAAGTTTGCATTGACACCATGTGAATAAATCTCTTTTGTGAGTATGTGTGGTTCTGAAAAGAACCGGAGGAACTCAATGTTTTGAAAATTTTGCTCTGCCCGTCGTCAGGAGAATGAAGGATGACTGAGGGATGCTGGATGATCACTGGAGCGTGTCAGTACACAGTGAGGGGGCAAAGGGGAAGGAGCTAAGGGTATAGGTGACCCATAGGCGAGAACTGATCCTAAGTTGTCCTAGGGTATAGGAGACCCATCAGACTTGGAGTTGAGGATGGGGCGCCAGATGTTGCTGATGCAGAAACAGATGTCTATGGGAACAGTGTTATGCTTGATGATCTCTATGGCTTCTCTGATGCGTTGGGGGTACCATCGGTCGATGCTATCACGTATTGTGATGAACACGTTTTGTGATGAACAAAATACGATACAGCCAGAAGCAGTCTAAATTTTAAAACAAATTTTACAGTAATGAAACATTTCTTTTGAAACTGTGAAGGTCATCTGATATAAAATATAATTCGTCTTCTCTCACTCTGGTATGATACCTTCTTAATCATAAATAAGTATGTATAGCGTATACTGATGAAAAGTAAGAATGTAAATTGTTATTGCACTGTATATGTATCTAAATAAATACGCTTATATCCAAATGTTCGAGATTATAATGTACATCTATTTTGTTTCTCGCTTATAATTATTCATAACATGGTTGTTACATTGTGCCAGCCCCCAGTCCCCCACCGATTGACGCCCATGACGGAGGCGTGCCCGCCGGCAAATTTTCTTTTCCTAAACTACATCCAGATACAGTGGAGCGCCGCTATAACGAACATCTCGGGATCCACCGAAACTGTTCGTTATAGCGACCGTTCGCTACTGATGACTGACTGAAACGTGACTTTAGGCGTCACCACCCTTTGCAACCAGAGTTTTGTAAATGTTATGAATTCATCTTTGATCAGGGCAAGCCGGTAGCCTAGTTGATAGAGTGCCGTTCTCAGATCATCAATCTCGGGGTTGGTGGTTCGAGCCCGAGGTTGTTACCCACGACTTTTTTTCGTCACAACAAAGGGGGTTGGTTACTGATGACGACACGTGACTTTTGACGTCACCACCTTTTCCAACCAGAGCTTTATATAAATATATATATTAGAAATATCCTATTTGGTGAGTGCAATCCGGTAGCTTAGTCGATAGAGTGCGGTTCTCAGATCATCAATCTGGGATTTTCGTCTAAACGAAAGGGGTGAGGAATTGATGGCGACACGTGACTTTAAACGTCACCACCCTTTGCACGGGATGTTTGTACATATTATAAATCACGCACGAGTCACCACCGCAGCTTTATGTATATTATAAATTCCCTGTTTGGTTTGTGACTTTTGACGTCACCACCCTTTGCAACTACAGCTTTATATCTATTATAATTCCCCTGTTTGGTAAGTGCGAGCCGGTGGCTTAGTCGATAGAGTGCGGTTGTCAGATCATCAATCTCGGGGTTGGTGGTTCGAGCCCGACCTTGTCACCCACGACTTTTTTTTCGTCAGAGCGGATGTGGGGTTGGGTAAGGATGACGACACGTGATCTATGACGTCACCACCCTTTGCAACCGTTTTATATATATTATATATAATATATATGCACAGTTTTATATATATTATAAATTCCCTATTTGGTAGGTGCGAGCCGGTAGCTTAGTCGATAGAGTGCGGTTCTCAGATCATCAATCTCGGGATTGGTGGTTCGAGCCGGAGCTTGACACCCACGACATTTTGTTTTTCGTAAGAGCGGAGGGTGTTTTGTACTGATGACGACACGTGACTTTCGACGTCACCAACCTTTCTAATCGCAGCTTTATATCTATTATAAATTCTCTATTTGGTAAGTGTAAGCCGGTAGCTTAGTCGATAGAGTGCGGTTCTCAGATCATCAATCTCGGGGTTGGTGGTTCGAGCCCAAGCTTGTCACCCACGACTTTTTTTTTCGTCAGAGCGGAGGGGGGGGGGGTTGGGTAAGGATGTCGACACGTGACTTTTGACGTCACCACCCTTTGCAACCGTTTTTTATGTATTATATATAATATATATGCACAGTTTTATATATATATAATAAATTTCCTATTTGGTAAGTGCGAGCCGGTAGCTTAGTTGATAGAGTGCGGTTCTCAGATCATCAATCTCGTGGTTGGTGGTTCGAGCCCGAGCTTGTTACCCACGACTTTTTTTTTTCGTCAGAGCGGATGGGGGGATGGTAAGGATGACGACACGTGGCGTTTGACGTCACCACCCTTTGCAACCGTTTTATATATATTATATATATATATATGCACAGTTTTATATATATTTTAAATTCCCTATTTGGTAAGTGCGAGCCGGTAGCTTAGTTTTAAAGTGCGGTTGTCAGATCATCAATCTCGGTTTTGGTGGTTTGAGCACGAGCTTGTCACCCGCGACATTTTGTTTTTCGTAAGAGCGGAGGGTGTTTTTTAATGATGACGACACGTGACTTTTGACGTCACCAACCTTTCCAATCGCAGCTTTATATCTATTATAAATTCCCTATTTGGTAAGTGCGAGCCGGTAGCTTAGTTGATAGATTGCTGTTCTCAGATCATCAATCTCGGGGTTGGTGGTTCGAGCCCGAGCTTGTCACCCGCGACTTTTTTTTTCCGTCAAAGCGGAGAGGGGGGGGGGGGGGTTGGGTAAGGATGACGACACGTGACTTTTGACGTCACCACCCTTTGCAACCGTTTTATATTTATTATATATAATATATATGCACAGTTGTATATATATAATAAATTTCCTATTTGGTAAGTGCGAGCCGGTGGCTTAGTCGATAGAGTGCGGTTCTCAGATCATCAATCTCGGGGTTGGTGGTTCGAGCCTGAGCTAGTCACCCTCGACATTTTTTTCCGTAAGAGAGGAGGGTGTTTTGTACTGATGACGACACGTGACTTTTGACGTCACCACCCTTTGCAATCGCAGCTTTATATCTATTATAAATTCTCTGTTTGGTAAGTGCAAGCCGGTAGCTTAGTCGATAGAGTGCGGTTCTCAGATCATCAATCTCGGGGTTGGTGGTTCGAGCCCAAGGTTTTTACCCACGACATTTTTTTCGTCGGCACGAACGGGGTGGGTGGATTAATGACGACATGTGACTTTTGACGTCACCACACTTTGCAACCACAGCTTTATATCTATTATAAATTCCTTATTTGGTAGGTGCGAGCCGGTAGCTTAGTCGATAGAGTGCGGTTGTCAGATCATCAATCTCGGGATTGGTGGTTCGAGCCGGAGCTTGACACCCACGACATTTTGTTTTTCGTAAGAGCGGAGGGGGGGGGGTTGGGTAAGGATGTCGACACGTGACTTTTGACGTCACCACCCTTTGCAACCGTTTTATATGTATTATATATAATATATATGCACAGTTTTATATATATAATAAATTTCCTATTTGGTAAGTGCGAGCCGGTCGCTTAGTCGATAGAGTGCGGTTGTCAGATCATCAATCTCGGGGTTGGTGGTTCGTGCCTGAGCTAGTTACCCACGACATTTTTTTTTCGTAAGAGCGGAGGGTGTTTTGTACTGATGACAACACGTGACTTTTGACGTCACCACCCTTTGTAATCGCAGCTTTGTATCTATTATAAATTCTCTGTTTGGTAAGTGCAAGGCGGTAGCTTAGTCGATAGAGTGCGGTCCTCAGATCATCAATCTCGGGATTGGTGGTTTTAGCCCAAGGTTGTAACCCACGACATTTTTTTCGTCAGCACGAACGGGGTGGGTGGATCAATGACGACATGTGTCTTTTGACGTCACCACACTTTGCAACCACAACTTTATATCTATTATAATTTCCCTGTTTGGTAAGTGCGAGCCGGTAGATTAGTTGATAGAGTGCGGTTCTCAGATCATCAATCTCGGGGTTGGTGGTTCGAGCACGAGCTTGTCACCCGCGACTTTTTTTTCCGTCAAAGCGGAGAGGGGGGGGGGGGTAAGGATGACGACACGTGACTTTTGACGTCACCACCCTTTGCAACCGTTTTATAGTTATTATATATAATATATATGCACAGTTTTATATATATAATAAATTTCCTATTTGGTAAGTGTGAGCCGGTGGCTTAGTCGATAGAGTGCGGTTCTCAGATCATCAATCTCGGTTTTGGTGGTTTGAGCACGAGCTTGTCACCCACGACATTTTGTTTTTCGTAAGAGCGGAGGGTGTTTTGTAATGATGACGACACGTGACTTTTGACGTCACCAACCTTTCCAATCGCAGCTTTATATCTATTATAAATTCTCTGTTTGGTAAGTGCAAGCCGGTAGCTTAGTCGATAGAGTGCTGTTCTCAGATCATTAATCTCGGGGTTGGTGGTTCGAGCCCAAGGTTGTTACCC